TACAAAGGCTGCCAAACCTATAAGAGCCTCAAATCCAGATACCAGAAGAACCGGATTCAAGATGAGACAACCAGACCAAGAAGAGAACCTTCTAGAATTGTTAACAATAATTTATCATACTCCGAACTACTTGGAGGTAAGAACCCCAATAATACATGTGAAGCCCTGCCGCAGCAACTACCTCAGCCCCAATCTCAATATTCTGTTCATCCTAACACACATAATCATCAACAACCTCAAATTCCTCATATTCCTCCTCCTTCAAATGCAACAGATCTCACTAGTTTGTTAGCATCTTTCCTCACCGATTTCAAATCCTAGTTACTCCACTCATATCACTCCTTACAAATCTCGTATCTCACCTCATCCCTCCTTTAAAAAATCCTTAATGACCCACATCCCAAAACCCATGTCCATTCTCCTTTGGAATGCGAATGGTGTTAGAAATCACGTAGACGAACTAACAGCTTTACTACAAGACAAGAACATTGACGTAGCCCTAATTACAGAAACTCGACTGACCATAAAACAGCATTTAAAAATCCCACAGTATTTAACATACCGTACTGACCATCCTGATGGCAGAGCACATGCCGGTACTGCTGTCATCGTACACCAATCCCTCTCCCATCACTTACTCCCATTACCTACTCAAGATTTCCTACAGTCAACCGCTATTGTAATCAAAGCCTTCTCCTTTCCAGTCACCCTTGCATCAGCATATTGCCCTCCTAACAGATCCATATCCAAAGTCCAGTTCAGTTCTCTCCTCAACTCCTTAGGTCATCATTTCATCCTGGGTGCGACTTAAATGCCAAGCATCAAGTTTGGGGTTCAAGAACCACGAATTCTCGTGGCAGAACATTTCTGTCTGCACTCAATACCCAACGTTTCAGTCTCCTTCCACCCAACTCACCTACCTACTGGCCCACAGATCCTAACCGCAATCCCGATATCCTTGATTTTTTCATCCACAGTGGCTTAGGTCCCCTCAATCATTCCCTTACCCCTCTTGCCGAACTATCCTCAGATCATAGTCCATTATTACTCCAATTATCTCTAGCTCCTATTCCTAAGTCTTCTCCACCGTCCTTCATCGGAGGCCCAGTTAACTGGAAACTCTTTCACCAAATTCTTTCCGATAAAATTGACCTCAGAATGACCCTGAAAACCCCAGATGACCTTGACAATACCGTACACTTTTTTACCACCACTATCCAACAAGCAATCTGAACTGCTTCCTCTCCAAACCACTCCTCAAGAACTCCTAAGAAAAATAAGTTACCTCAACACCTCATAGACCTAATCCATACCAAACGCCGTGCCAGATTATTATGGCAACGTACTAGACACCCCACCGATCGTCAATCCTATAATTATTTTTGCAAAAAACTAAAGATAGAATTGGCCACCTTCAGATCCCAATCCTTCAACTCCTACCTTACTTCCCTCTCTTCTCATGACAATTCCCTATGGAAGACCACCAAACATGTCCTAAAACCCCATCACATATCACATCCTCTCCGTCGAGGTGATGGCTCTTGGGCAGCATCTGACGAAGATAGAGTCGAAGAATTCGCCAAACACCTTTCCCTTACATTCACCTCTCATCCAGAATCCAATCCCACCCACACGTCAGCAGTAGAGGAATTCCTTAATTCACCCATCCCACTCTCCTTACCGCCTAAAGCAGTTAATCCTTCTGAGGTCGAATTCCTCTTACAAAAACTACCTACCCGCAAATCACCTGGATACGACTTCCTTACCTCTCAGATCCTTAGACAACTCCCTCCTAAAGCTGTCATATTCCTTACATACATATACAATAGTATCCTACGAACCACCCACTTTCCTCTTTTGTGGAAACATTCCACTATTATCCTGTTTCCGAAACCAGGCAAACCTCCCAACACCCCAACGTCCTACAGACCAATTAGCCTTCTTCCGATTCTCTCAAAAATCTTTGAAAAGATCCTCCTGAAACACATCCTACCCTTTATAGAATCCCAAAATCTTCCTTCCCATCAGTTCGGATTTCGTTCACAACACTCTACAGTCCAACAAGGACTCCGAGTGGTTGATCATATTTCCGCAGCATTGGAAAGCAAGCAATATTGCTCGGGTGCATTTCTGGACATAGCTCAAGCTTTCGACCGGGTATGGCACGCCGGGCTTCTTTCCAAGCTGAAAAACTATCTTCCTCAGTCCTTGTACCTTGTTCTCCGTTCCTACCTCTCAGATCGTACCTTCCGAGTTCGTTGCGGTACTGAATTTTCGCATTGCTATCCAATTGAGGCAGGTGTTCCTCAAGGTAGCGTATTGGGTCCCGTCCTTTACATCCTCTTTACCGCCGATATCCCTGTCCATCCCGATACCTTCCTGGCAACTTTTGCTGATGACACCGCCATTCTATCATCCGACTCAGATCCTGATATAGCATCCTCAAACCTTCAAAGACACCTCTCCCTGATTGAGCACTGGTGTAATAAATGGCGTATTAAAGTAAACGAATCCAAATGCCAACACATCACCTTCACGCTCCGACGCAGTTCCTGTCCACCAGTACACTTTAATTCCATCCAGCTTCCTTTCTCAGACACAGTCCGGTACCTTGGCTTTCTCTTAGACAGACGACTAACGTGGAACCCTCATACTAGACTTAAAAGACAGGAACTAAACCGACGATATGGCCAACTATACCGGCTACTAAACAGGAAATCTAAACTTTCCATTGAAAACAAGTTACTGATCTACAAGACAATATTGAAACCTATCTGGACTTACGGACTTGAACTGTGGGGAACAGCAAAATTTTCTAACATCAAACGCATCCAATCCTTTCAATCCAAAGTCCTTCGAACAATAGTCGATGCTCCTTTCTATGTAACCAACAAAACCCTACACCATGACCTTAATATCCCATTTATCCTAGACCTTATCCCATCAAAATTCTCCAAATTCCACCAGAACCTTACCCATCATCCAAATCCCTTTGCACAATCTCTATCCAGCACCACCCATCCATATAATCCTCCAAGGAGGTTAAAACGGCAGTGGCCCCGCGACCTTTTATAGTTTGTAAATATTGGAGTTCTGGCAATGGCCAGATTCTCCACTCACGACATGAGTGTATGTGGCTTAAGCACTCTTACTCAATCTCCACTGGGTTTAGCCCCAGTGACGCGGTTGAGAGAGAAGTGCTGGGATCTCCTGGAGCCATGCTTTTCCCTCCACACTTGGAGAGACAAGTCTGGTTTGGAGTTCCCTCCCCAAATTGTAAATATTGTATATAGGTATGTATGTGTTCTTTTTATTTATTTATTTTTAGGTTATTTTATTCTTATTTATTGTATATATGTTATTTTTCTGTATAATTTATTTTATTTACTGTACATAGAGTGTGAATGTGATCTGTTAACACTATTATAAATGTCCTCGAGACAGATTGTAATATTTTTCAAAAAAAAAAAAAATAAATAAAAAAAAAATAAAAAAAAAAAAAAATAAAATAAAAAAAAAAGTAAATATTAAAGTTATTTATAAAACCAAACACTGTTCAGCGATGACCAGGAGAAGGGAGTCGACAAACATTTCCATTCCATCCTTCCAGCTGCAGTTCATCTTGCGTCCTGCCTCCTTTCGCTGACTTGAACCAAGTCCTTTTCTGCTGATCTGTGCTACATCTCTCTAAGTCTTCCTATTCTTTCTCATTAAGGGTTCACTGTAGAGAATCTTTTTTAGTTGTACCATCAGATTTTCTTAAGCTATGTCCTATCCGCATCCACTTTTCTTCCTTACTTTGAGACAGATAGGAAGCTGTCCCTAGGTTACCAGAACCTCAGGATTCTTCATAAATTGGAGTTAGTGGAGGTTTAAGGAGACCTTGGCATTGGTTTCGTCATTTTCACGGCTTTACTGCAGTAGATTACTGCCTTAGTTTTGTTTTCTTGGAAATTTCTTCTTCTTCCGTGTTGTATGTAGTTTAACAAACACCAGATTTGATATTTCTTCAAACATCTCCCATCATGCTCTCCCATCTCTTTAGTGTCTGGAGCCTCCTCAAACCCCACAGGATTCATCATTTTTATCTTCGAAATTTAACTACCATCTTTCCTTCTTTCCATTGGCTCGACAGACCATTACTGATCCCTGGCCTCCTCCAATAACTTCTGCCAGTCTTTACTCTATTGGGCAGCAGTACTCCAATCCCAGACCTCCAGGATCGTCTGGGGATCTTCTGCTACACCATCCATCCATCTAAGACGCTGTCTTCCTCTACGCCTTGTATTATGAATTGCCTCACTCATTAATTTTCTGGGGATCTCATTTTCTGACATTTGTGCTACGTGGCCAGCCCACCTCAATCTTCCCATCCTTATGTTTCACAATGCCAGGTTCACCAAGATTATATTCTTCTTGATTACCTCTCCTGAGATATGTTTGACTGACTCTTGTAGGTCCATAAATGCGGCGCAGAATCCTTCTCTCAAAAGCCTATAAACTTCACTCATCCACCTGTGATATTACGCATGACTCCGAGCCATACGTCAGGACCGTCCTGATCAGCGGCTTATACAGTCGTGGCTCTCATCTTAGCTGTCAAAATATACAATAGAGTTGGAAAAACACACATTGTGCTAAATTGCTTTGCACCATTTTGTATTTTAATTCAGTTTGACAATCTTCTATCATGATTATTCAATGATCGTGTTAGTCTTATAGCATATGATCTACTAATGTTGATTATCTTTTTATGTATGCCATACCTCTCAAGGATTTTCCATATGGTGTTGTGGTTCAGTATATCAGAGGCTTTTGCAAAATAAATAAAGTCTATTTATTGTGGGCTTTGCCACTCAATGCCTTCTCAGTTTGAGAACCTTAATAGAAAATTAAATTGTTTTTGTAATTATTAACATTATATATATAATTTAATCATTATTCTGTTATTTATTCTTTTTGCTTGGTAACTATTGAGTTTTTATTCCTAAAATTCTCAGAGAGGTGATCCAGGTCGCCCAGAAGAAGAAGTGTTAATGAGAGCTCTAAGAGATTTCAATACACCGAAAATTGTGACCGACGATGTTCCAGTTTTTATGGGATTAATAGGTGACCTCTTTCCTGCATTAGATGTACCAAGGAAAAGGAATGCTGAATTTGAACATACAGTTAAGCAAGCTGCTATGGATCTTTTGTTACAACCTGAAGATAATTTTATTCTCAAAGTAAATAAAATTGTAATAACATATATCGTACCTACAGCTTTCTATTTATTATTTTATCTTTTCATTTTGTTTAGGTTGTCCAATTAGAAGAACTCTTGGAAGTGCGTCATTCAGTTTTCGTTGTTGGTAATGCTGGCACATCAAAAACACAGGTATGGAGAACACTTTATAAAACATACCAAAATATGAAGAGGAAGCCTATTTATAATGATTTAAATCCAAAAGCTGTTACAAATGATGAATTGTTTGGAATTATAAATCCAGCTACAAGGGAATGGAAAGATGGTATTTTTCTATATAATTTTAAATTCTTTTAGTTTTTTAATAGATTTTTCAACTTTTCTGTAAATTTTGTGTGTAGGTCTCTTTTCTAACATAATGCGTGAGCAAGCTAATCTCTCAGGGGAGCACCCTAAGTGGATTGTTTTGGACGGAGACATAGACCCAATGTGGATTGAATCCCTTAATACTGTAATGGATGATAATAAGGTAATGCATCTATTGTTTTTAAAATATTTATTCTCTGCTTCCTGCATCACTAATTTAGAAATATTTTTTTTACTTGTTATAATAAAAGTAACCTGTACAAAATTTGTTCTGGCAATGGTAATATCATGCATCTTGTTTAAAAGAGACTACTCAAAATCATTATCAGTTTTTAAGTTGGACCTCCGTTAGTCCCTCTTAAATATTATGCTAAAACAGTAATCACACCAGATGCTAAAGATGTAATTTTGATAGAATTCCTATTAATTTATAGGATACTTATCATTATCTTGATAATTTATTTACTAGACAGACTTTGAGGTGTATTTTAATTTCTGAAATTGGTTAATATCATAGACCAAAAGGAATCAGAGGTTCTTATGAGTGAAATTTTTAAAATTTCTATACACAAATAAACAAGATGAAATGAAATTTTTAAATAGAATGAGATGACAGTATAGTTACTGTAGGCTATGGACTTGGATGTTCGGTGAATCGGTTGTAAAAGTTAATAAGGCCCATTAAATATACATTATCATATTGTGATTCTTAGAGATGGTTCTGTAATTTAACAATGGTCATGTATTATCATCCTCTGTTTTAGGTATTAACTCTTGCGAGCAATGAACGAATAGCACTTACTCCATCAATGAGGTTGTTATTCGAAATATCCAATCTTCGTACTGCAACACCTGCCACAGTTTCAAGAGCAGGAATTCTGTACATCAATCCTCAAGATCTTGGTTGGAATCCGTAAGTTTTCCAAATAAAAGATGAAATATCATTCATATTCATTGATGTTTCGAATAACTGTTTACTATTATATTGTATTAATGTGTTTTTCAAGTCCCTGTTTAGGCATCAAATTATATGTTAATCTTTATAATATTACATAATTCCTGAAATTTCAGATAATAACGCAACTAAATTTAATAATTTGTTGATTATTGTTATCAATTAATTACAATTTAAATTATAATTTTAAGATACAATCCTTATCTGAAGTCTTGTATATTACATAAACACAATTACTTATGAATCAACAATATAAACTCAACACTGATTAGAGCCTTTCTTTCAAAGAATTGGTTCACGTACTCAAGTATTAGTATTGCTTTTCATTCATTGACAACTGATTGACCTACCAACTATTTGGGCTGAAAATCAAGTCTTGCAAGCTATTTCTTGAATTTCATTGGTCGAAACCAGCACTAATTCTTGAATTATCTATATCTTTTGAATAACTTTCTCTATCATATAACTTTTAATATCCAAAAGAATCATAACATTAAATTTAATAAATTATGATTATTAATTAAAAATGGAGGTTATTCTAAAAGTGTAACAGAAGCTATTAGAGCCCCTGGGCTGGGCTTAGAGGTTTCAAACCAAATCCCTGGCTTTCAAACCAAATTCTTAATAAAAATTAACATTTTTTATGAATTGTTTAAAATATGTTATTTCTGAAAATGATATTGCTCGAATAAATATATTTTATTTAAAAAAAAAAAAATTTAAAAAAACAAACGCAAGATTCCTTCTATTCAAAACACTTTTACTTAAATTTTTTTTAAGTTATAAAAGGAAATTCTTACTCAACCAATTTCTGATTTATAACAAATGAAAATAACCGGTACTTGTTTGATAGCTGGGCAGGACAGACTGCTATCTGCCAATGTTTATAACCTCGACACTGATCATTCTGATAAGGCTTCTCATAATTTCTATCTTTGTATTCATATTTATTGTATTATATTCATATTATTGAAATTGTAAAAAAAAAAAAAATAATGTAATAATAACAAAACAGTTTGGTTTGAAATTGAAATTATGGGACCACTTTACCATAGTTGCCTTGGATAGTTTCAGCTGCTCTTTGCCCCACTTTATCGTAGTTAAATTATGGGACTACCCATAAATAAATTTTAAACCTGTTAAAAACGAAATCCTCGACCCCTCTAACTACGTTCCTTTCCTTATAGAAACTTTTTTGTTACAAGTGGTACGAAAGCATCTCCATTTCGCAGAAAGGTGATCCTGTCTAACTTCATTTGATAACCACACAATTTCACGTTTGGAATTATCTCAGTGTTTTGAAAATATTCAATAGCGTCTTCTTCTGAAGATGGTAATTCCCAGAATGTAAACCATAATTTCATGAAAAGAAAACAAATGGAACAAAAATATACAATGGAATAACTCAAAGCTTTTACAAGATAAAAGGGAGGTTATGTGATGTAACATTAGATAACAAGGGAGGTTTCGTCCAGGCCTCCTATCAGACATGTACCAAAAAAACTAAACACCGATAAACATCTTTTGAGAGAGTCAAGTTTCACAATTAATGCATGGAAGTGCATGTTGGTCTAAATGCCTTTAACAAAGTTTCTCACAATTCAAGTTTCAAACTTGAATAATATAAAGAAAATATCACATTTAAAATGAAACATTCTTCTCTGATCATCTTTGATTGTAATAAATCTTGTAAAAGTAACAAAATCTAGATTTCAATTTTGCCGAAGCCAATTAGACCTTATTGCACTTTCAGGCTTCAATTATGTTAATATTCAGTAATTGACTCACGTTTTTATTTATTTTTTTCCTGTGATTTATTATAATTATATATTAATATTTTATGTTCTATTAAATTTCAGCTTTGTTACAAGTTGGATAGAAACAAGAGAAAATGGCACAGAAAAAAATGCTTTGATGATGCTTTTTGATAAGTATATTCCTTCCTGCCTTGAAGGGATGAGGAATAGATTTAAAAAAATAATTCCTATAACTGAAATTTCTCAAATTCAACTTCTTTGTTATTTATTGGACTGTTTACTTGTAGCAACCAATACACCTGTAGATTGCCCTAAAGAATGGTATGAATTATATTTTGCCTTTGCCTGCGTTTGGGCATTTGGATCTGCTTTATTTCAAGACCAGGTAAATAGTTAATGGACATTATTAGGTAATAGATGTAAAAAATATAGGCCTATGTTTTGATAGTTTAAAAAACATTATTTTTAATGCCTTGATGAAAACCTACAATGTCAGTCGAAATATTGACATTCAATAAATAGTTACCCATATTTGATGTTATTTTTTACTGACACTCAAATACATTTCATGTATTTATTCTGATTCGCTTTATTATTTAGTAAGGTACATTTTATTAAGATTAAGTTGGTTATTTATTCTGGTATTTAGTCAAGATCAGAAAGTAGCTCTGTAAATAATACAATGTATTATATATTATTTTTAACTTTGTTTAATTTATGATGATTAGTTATTGATTTTTTTTCTCAGGCTATTGATCATAGATCAGAATTTTCAAAATGGTGGCTAAATGAGTTTAAGACAGTGAAATTTCCTGCCCAAGGCAATGTCTTTGATTTTTATATTGATAATGAAACTAAAGAATTTACACCATGGTCTGAAAGAATACCAAGATTTGAACTGGATGCTGATGTGCCTCTTCAGGTTTTTAAGTGTTGCAATTATGAATTTATAAGTTATTTTTAAAAATAAAATTTAATAAACGTCTTATTGCTTTAGGGAACATTGGTACATACAGCAGAATCTATAAGAATAAAATTTTTTATTGATCTTCTGATGGAAAATAAAAAACCTTTAATGCTAGTAGGCAATGCTGGTGTTGGGAAGACTATGATTATCGCTGATAAACTTGCTTCTTTGCCTGAACATTATGCTATAACAAATGTCCCATTTAACTTTTATACTACATCAGGTAAAATGTTATGTTTTTTTTACTCAGAAGATTTAATGTTTGAATTACTAACTTTTGAATATGATGTTATTAAATTTTGTAACATCAATAATATACATTAAAACTTTTTTTTATAGAGATGTTGCAAAAGATTTTGGAGAAACCTTTAGAGAAAAAAGCTGGTCGTAATTATGGACCTCCTGGCAACAAAACAATGATATATTTCTTAGATGATATGAATATGCCTCAGGTAAAAATAATCTAATAATATGTAAATATTTAAGTAAAAGTAGTTTTAAAGTTATTAAAAACATTAAGACGCCCTTTCCTGTACTTTAAAACTCTTATAAAGACATTTTTTTTCTGTACAAATTTAAAACAAAATCAAATTATAATGATTATTTATGGTTACTTCATTAACATTAATTGATTATAAATAACTCAGAGTATTTTGCCTCTTTAGTGGATCTGTCTCATTTCCACTAAAAAGGAAAAAACCTATGCTCAATAGGAGACTAACCACAAACCAAAATTAATTAGATGAACAGTCTTTTAAAATCTATTAAAATATAGTTATGTAGAGGACTGAAAACTTAATCCATGACAACTACAAAAGAACATTCTAGGCTTTGTAAAAGTTACATAGTTTAACAGAATTACATAAATAAAATAGGAATCTAAAAGCATAAATTTGAGTCTTACTTCTTGTAAAAGTCTGCAGACCACTAATTGTGTGTCAGAAATAGAACCATATGTGATTCAATCCCTGCTTGGACTTTACAAAAAAATGAATTTACCACAAAATTTAAAAAGATTAGGATTCCTTAAAGCGTATTTTGAATTATTTTTATAATGCATTTACCTGTAAAAACTTTTCAACTAACTCTCAAACTTTAGGAAAGGTAAAAAAGACAGTTATAGTATGTGCAGCTTCAAGGTTCTTGCAGCCACCATTCGTACTGTTCCGATCGATGTTCAACTATAATTTACATTAGTTGGTTAAAATAAATATTGATTGCAAGTATCTCATAAATGAAAACAATATCTAATATATACTAAACTTATCATTATTATTTTAGGTTGATGCTTATGGAACAGTTGAACCTCATACACTCATTCGTCAACATCTTGATTATGGACACTGGTATGATCGTAACAAATTAACTTTAAAAGATATTCACAATTGCCAGTATGTCGCTTGTATGAATCCAACAGCTGGAAGTTTTACAATTAATCCAAGGCTACAAAGGCATTTCAGTGTTTTTACAGTGAGGTATGCGATTTAGGGTTATTTACAATGTATTTATTTTTGGAATAATAACAAAAGTTCTAATAATGTCAATTCTATAAACAAATGTTACTAAAGGAATCAGAGCTGTTAAAGTAGATCAGTTTATGTCGAGCATGGCTGGGTGCTTTCTGAACTATTTGATCATTTATAAAAATTTGTTTCTGTTCAACATTACGGAAAGAATTATTGTGCTTATCGTTTTTGCCATACAAAGTGAATCAGATATAAACAGTAATTGTTTTCATACATTTATTTTTAAACACCATATTTAAATTCTACTTTCAGCATTTCCCAATATGTTTTCCTGTGTGGTCTACCTACTTTTGCTGCCAACTTGGAAGCTTTCTTTACTCAGTACAGCCATTATAAAGGAAAAAGCAAGGGGTACATTTTTATGTAGCACAACACTTAATCATAGAATATTTAAACAATTAAGTTGTTGAAATCTTGAAAATTTTTACTAACATAATTTTTAGTTGAATTTTTAATGAAAGTCAAGATTGATGCCCACGGGTTAGTCTTACAGGTGACAACATTCATGGCATTTAAGAGATTATTGAATGTGATCATTGGTCAACTGTTAAAGAAATCTTGACAAAAGTGCAAATCAGATGAAATTAATCTATTCACCCCAGAAAGAAAGATGAAGTATGCTCATTGGCAAGATCATCCTTCTTCATGATAATAACAGGGCTCACACTGTGATCCTGACTTGAGAGAAATTAACTGTGAAACCATTTGACATTCCCTTTATAGCCTAGACTTCTCCTCTTGTCATAATTTTTTGTTCACATCCTTGAAAGAATCACTAGAGAGAGAATAAACAATCAAGAAGTCAAGGAGCAGGTGTTTAATGGCATCACAATGTGCCCTCCAACTTTAAACAAGTAATATACACATTTCCGAATTAATGATCAGATTTTGTAGATTATATAGCAGACTACATTGAGAAATGCTAAAAGTATGGTTTATGTAAAGTATTAATAAATGTATAAAAAATATTAGGCACTGGATGGTTTTGCTGATCTGAATGCTTAGATTGTATAGCCTGTTCGTATTATCGAAATATTAAGATTATAAGAGTTTAATTAAAAATTATGGAAATTTATTATCGGATAACACTTTTGTAAACGAAAAAATAATGTATGAAAAAGATTCTATACTGTAAGTGGAGTCTCTAATTTTGTTGCTAAACTATTATATTAACTATTATATTAACTATTAACTATAAAATTAAAAAAAACTAAATGCAAATTCCTCAAAAGTACCAGACTTCACTAGTTAATGTTGTACCATTTGTTCACTCCAAGCAAACATTAACTACCTTTATGGCGTTTCTATGACTTATCTATAATGAAAAATAAAATATGTGTAAAGAAATGTTCTAGTAAAATAAAAATTAATATGAAAAACGTATTCCATACCTGCTTATGAAATTATTAAACCAACCTTTACTGACATTAAAATCTGTTTTATTGTCCTTAAAAAAGTCATTATAGAAAAACTTTGACTTTTTATCTAATATATCCCCGGAAATCGGACACCTTCATGATCTCTGCTGTAAAAACCGCATAGAAAAAGCTTCCTCAACTTCTGGATACCGTCAAGTTTTATTTGATTTCATTTAGAGGCACTACAATCCAACTTCGACATTACCACATGGAACAATTATAGTAATTTGTACAAAGGAACAAAGCCATTTCCATTCTTTCTCTTGTCAGTCAACTTTTTTTTTTTTTCTTGCTTATTTGGATTATTAGGGGTTTTGGAATACTAGGGGTTTAGATTATTGAGAATGTACTATATTAGATTCATTCTCATTATAAAAATTTTATTTTGTAAGCACATATATTTTTGGTAAAACCCTCATCTGGAAACTACACATCTTCCTAATTTTCCATCGTACTATTTCTGCCCTAAAATAATTCAACCACCAATGCTATCTCCTTCCATACAAAACCCATCAATTCCTGGTTTCCTCTCTAGTTTTTCTCCACTTCGACTATGGTTATATGTACGATGGACTCTCGTGAGAATTTAAATGCCTAATGAATCGCTTGATACGTTTTGTCTTTGGGATCTCAAGAGATACTCATATTACTGAGTATTATACCGAGTTGAAGTGGCTCTATCCATCCTACCTCCATCACTACTTCCTTGCGACTCTCCTATATTGTTCAGAGCTTACAATTCAAATCCTCCATTCGATCCCTTCCCACCAGATCCCATATTTCTGACCTCTATCCTCCTCACCGAACAGCTGCGCTTGACAAATCCTTTTTAATTCAAGCCTTCTCCTTTTAGAATTCTATCTCTTCCGATATACTACATGCACAATCAGTTTTCTCATTTAAATCTCCCCTTTATAAGTATCTACTCCTTTCCCAATCCGACTGATCATGAAATGTACATAAGAGAACTTCTTAAGATACTCCAGAAAACTTGTTGTTTTCTTATGTTATTCTATTTTCTATTATGTTATTCTATTCTATTTGTATGTTTTTGTTTTGTTCTTTTTTCTTCCAATATTTTTATTTTTAATTAGATATTATTTTGAAAATATTTAATTTAATGTATAGCCACACAGGCATTTTCTCTGTATTTATATTTTGTTCTAAAGGAACAATAGTCCCAGGATAATAAAAAAAAAAAATTAATTTTATATGTTAACTGCTGATAAATATTGTAAATAGCTGTCTTTCTATCATTTTCTGTTCCCTAACTTGTGAACTAGGGCTACCAGCACTTCATCAGAATTCTTATTCAATTTAACCACTCACTTCTGATGGAAAAGTTCTTTCACTATTATTTAATGTTTGGTGAAATGGATTCTTCCATTTCGATCATAGCTTTATGCATTTTTTCTTTAAAATAGAAAAATATCATGCTATTTATAATATTTTTTTAGTTTTCCAGGTACTGAATCACTTAATACAATTTACCATTCGATTCTGAGTCAACACCTAGCGAATCCTGAGCACAAGGTTCCAAGCATTGTCAGCAGATTGTGCCCTAATGTTGTAGCTGCTAGTATCAATCTTCATCATAAAGTTTCTCAGCTTTTTCTTCCAACGGCTTCAAAGTTTCATTACATTTTTAATCTAAGAGATATCTCAAATGCTTTTCAGGTATTTTTACTTCAAATCTAGATAATTTCTATGAATATATAAGCAATTTATTATATAATCGGCAGGTTTTTCATAGGTTTAATTTAACCTGATTTTGTGTTCAACAAATATGTCACACTCATCCTTAACTTGGTCACAAGGTAGATCAATGTAGCTGTCCATAATGTCATTTTCTATTGCATTACAAATAGTGTACTAGTTTACAGAAAACAATGAATCAAACCTGATTTAAAAAGGGAGATAGCACAAACCTATTTAAGAATATATGGAGTACTTATCAAATCGAAAGAGGGTCATAGATTGACAGGACTGTACATGGATCACTGTCGGCTCAATGAGCATCTTTCCAATCTGGGCTTAACTGAGGCACCTCCTCCATGTAGGCCTTGTGGTCTGGAGGATGAAACCGCCTATCATATTATATGCAAATGTGATAACTTGGCTAGGTTGCTGTATTTACAATTCGGAAGTGATTGTATCACTGACCCTAAGCTATGTGAAATGATTGATCCTATCAGTCTGTATAAGCTAGGGTTGATGCACAATAGGCCTCAATGAAGCCATGGTCCGCCTTAGTCGGGTTGAACAAAAGAAAAAAAAGGGGGTCGTAGTTCAGGATCTTGGGTGTACATGACATTTATTATGATCAAATCAACCATATTTTGTGTAATGTATTTATTGTTGAAAATGACACCAAAAATGGAACATTAAAATGAATGCTTTAAAAACAAGCCATTTCAGCTTCCAGAAAGCTTTATGTCCTAATAGTAATAGTAATAATCAACAACAATCAATATGTTTGAAAAAACCTTTTAAAAAAACAGTCCGATATCCATCATCCGGGGACAACAACATGCTTCATTGATATTAGGGAACTTAAATCAAGATTCCCACCTAAAATATCAATAATAAGATATAGACCCACGAATGGAAAAACAGTAACTTTTTTTTATTAATATCTGTTAGTAATAAAGTCAATAAAGAATAACTTAAATATACTCTAATAATGTAATTAAATCTTTTGAAAAAAAAAATCATTGGATTATAATTTTGCTTTTATTTTTTAGGGTTTGCTTTTTAGTGGCTATGACTGTCTGAATCAACCGATGGATCTGATTCGCCTATGGATGCATGAGACCCAGAGGGTATTTGGTGATAAACTCACTGACGACAAGGATGTAGATGCATTCATGAAGAATCAAATTGATATTGTGAAGAAAAATTTTGATGTAATTAATAACCTTGAATTATCTATTAGTTTTTGTTTTCAATAAGAAATTTATCACAAAAAAAAGAACAATAATGAAAAGTAAAGTTGTTAAATTTGTATCATAAATTTATATTTTATTATATCAATAATAAAAATGAATGAACAATAAATATAAGTCCCTTGGGCCATATTAAAGTAGTCAATGTGGCTATAAGACAAAAAAAGGTTGGATATTCCTGACCTATAGTCTTGTTGTCTACATGGCGGAATTCCAGTCCAAAAAAATAATAAAAAATAATTTACATTATTTCTTAAATGGTAGTAATCATTTATGGATGTTTATTATTTGGTTTGTGTTATATTTGCCAGATTTGTGTTAACCATATGTCACGCAGCATTATAAGTGGTAGTAATAAGTCTTGGTCTGACCGCACCTGCTGCAGTCGTGTCATTGAACGATTTAGTTTTTTTTTCTCTTTTTTAGTCCGGCTTATCTAATATTAGGCTTGTATAGTTGAAAAGCCTAGTGCCTGTACAGAACTCGAGTTAAATTTTAGATTTGACTTACCAATATTACCAAAATAGATTTAGTAAAATCATAAAACCTTGTGGTCTGGTTTTAGGAAATTGATGAAAGCCTTCTTTATGAAAAACCGAACATTTATTGTCACTTTGCACATGGAATCGGTGAACCAAGATACATGGCTGTTACCAGCTGGACTCAGTTGGACAGTCTTTTACAGGAAGCTTTACTTTCATATAATGATCTTATAGCAGCCATGAACCTGGTTCTCTTTGAGGATGCTATGATGCATGTTTGCAGGTAAAGTTATGTGTATATTTCATATTATATTATAATCTTTTAGTAAATGCTTATTATTATATACATGCTACTTATTATTGATATAAATACTGTTTATTTATTATTATAAATCAAAAGGATCAACCGGATACTTGAATCTCCAAGGGGTAGTGCATTATTAGTTGGAGTTGGAGGAAGCGGAAAACAGTCATTGTCACGTTTAGCAGCATACATTTCCAGTTTAGAAGTTTCTCAAATTCAGTTAAGAAAAGGTTTCGGTGTTTCTGATCTCAAAGTAATAATTCTATTCACAAATTCTTTGATGATAATAACACTGAGTTCTTTACAATATTTATCAAAATTTGTTCTTATATTATTATTTTAGGCAGAACTTGCATCACTTTATTTAAAATCAGGTTTGAAAAATCTTGGAATTATGTTTCTTATGACTGATGCTCAAGTAGCAAATGAAGATTTTCTTGTGCTCATAAATGACATGCTAGCATCGGGTGAAATTCCTGAATTATTTCCTGATGATGAAATAGATAACATAATTGCTGGTGTAAGAAATGAAGTAAGTTATTGAAACAGAATTCATAAATTTGAGAAATTATAAAGAACCATTCAAATTAAAATTACCATGAAAAAACAAAACTAACTATTTTCTACAGGACAATCATGGGGAATTTCTTTTATAATTGTTTATGAATGTGTAAAATATTAAAACATCATCAATTTGGTTATGGTTATGATGTTGACATCAGTCTGGCTTTTAATACAGTATTCAAATGGGCAATCGAATTATAGAGAGCGTGCTGTAATGTTATTAGAAGGAACTAAGAAGGTTACACAGGCAGAAGATGGAAACTCTTCAGAGGAAAATTTGACATAAAATATTTTAAATATATTTAAATATGAATTATTTTGTTTTAGCGTTAGTCCAAAAATATTATTTTTTTTTTAACATTAATTAAAATCAGAGTAAATCATTTATGTACTTTTATGTTTGAAAATAGTTAACTTTGATGTAAATAAAGTATGTTCATAATTTTAGAAACTATAACGCATATATTGTTACCTTTATTCTAAAAAAAATGTATCACGAAGTGTTCTTCCAAAACTTTGTCTCAAGAAAGTGTACTACTTGCATAAGTTTGCAAACACTATGGTGTTAGAATAATATTGTTGTTCGAAATATCAGCACAAAATTAGCCTCAGATACAAAAATAATTAAGAATTACTTAGGATATCAAAATGCATTGCATTTTTATGAAGAACCATGATTTTTCAAAGGGACTAATTAATTTTTATTTAAAATTAGTGGGATATCGAAATTAATGGGATATAAATTATTGAGATTGTACTCTACTAAAATTATTTTATTCTAGAACTTAACATCCTTGAATTATTTTTTAAATGAATTACTAATAACTTCATAGGTGAAAGGTGCAGGACTTGTCGATTCCAAGGAAAATTGTTGGAAATTTTTCCTCGATAGAGTAAGAAGACAGCTCAAAGTAGTGCTATGTTTTTCACCTGTTGGATCAACTTTGAGAGTAAGAGCGAGGAAGTTCCCAGCTCTCATCAATGCAACACTTATCAACTGGTTTCATGAATGGCCCCAGCAGGCACTTATTTCTGTCTCGATGAATTTCCTTAAAAAGCTGGATGTTCTGCCTGTAAGTAAAGTATTCAGATTTAAAAATAGTTCTTAAGTTTTTATAAATTTTCATTGAAACCTATTTTTAAAATTAAATTCATTACTAATTTTTATAGTTAATTTTCTATGCTTCTTTTTAATAAAATGTTCTGAATTTATTATCTTTCATTATGAAATTTCAAGAAAAATATCACCCTTCAGATTTCATGCTCTAATTTATTTTTTAAATTGGTACCGTTTCAGATGTATTCTAGTCCTTTTTCAAGTCTATAACCTAAAATAGAATGTTATATCAACAATCATATTAGATATTAAATTTATTTTAATACTATTTATAATTACAACTAATATTTAAGAAATTTATTTATCAATATGGTATTTACATCAATCATGGTTTATCTTTTTTTAAATTATTATTTAATAATTTTAATATTTAAAATAATTTTTGGTATATCGTTCTAGTCAAGGTTGTAGACTAGAAAATGGACCAGATTAGGTCTGGAATGTTGTCCATTAAAATAAATTAAATATATTTCTGTCCATGAATCAATTTTTTTTTTAAAACTTTTATTATGATATTTACAACTGTATTAGTATGAATACATCTAGTAAATTTGTACAGAGAAATATTATTATATGATACACGTTTGTTGAGAAACTACCCACTGGTAGCACTCTAGAATCAAATTTAATTTTTGTTTTGATTTACTTGAACAGGCAGTATATTGCAATTCAGTTGCTCAGTTCATGGCCCATGTCCACTCTCAAGTCAACCAGATGTCAAGGCTTTATTTGTTGTATGAGAGGAGATACAATTACACTACACCAAAGTCATTTCTGGAACAGATTTCGTTATATTCTAAACTACTCATCAAGAAAAGCAAAGAATTAGCAGGAAAAATAGATCGGCTGAAAAATGGACTTGAAAAACTGAGAAGCACTGCTCAGCAGGTATTCATTACATCATTTACTGTTTTGATAGATAAAGAAAATCTTCTTAATTTATTTAATTATTTTGGCTAACTTAGCCCGATTTGTGCCATTGATGCTACCATTGTATCGGGTTTGTGTACCATAGGTGGCCATTGCTTCATATTTGGCATTTTTCTTTTCTGTATTAACTCTAATGAATTGTAATACACATTAGTATTCCACATCACTCACTAGGGAAAGTTTCAGACGTGGGGTCACTGATTTCAATGAAACCTTTTTTGGTGATACAAGGTTAAAAAATATTAGACCCATGTCCAAGGATTCTTGCTGAGGGTGTCCTAGAAACAGAGAAAAAATATTTTATCTAATTTTGAACAAAATGTACATTATTAATTTTTGCCTTTGCTTTGCCTCAGGTATTACAAATTTTAATACTTGATTTTTCAGCCGTCAACTAAAGCCTGCATAAATTACAATAGTTACAAGAGAAACTTTGGTTCTTATCTGTTTACAAAAGTTACATTTATACCATTTCGTGTAGCTTACAGAGTCTTAAGTCCCTATTAATTTCCTTGTGATTTGGTGGAGTCGTTCTGAATATATCACAATTTTTTTGGTTACTTTATTGGAAGCCCCTTTTATTTTTTGTTATTTAAGATACTCAATAATTCATTTAATACTATAATCAATATTTTTTTTCTTATTCTGCACTAAAAAAGTAATCAAATGGTATATAATAACCTAAACATATGGATAAAGCAAGAGAAAAAATTAATAACATAAATTTTGTTCGAAATTATATAAAATATTGTTTTTCCCTGTTCTTAGCCCACATTCTCAAGAATCCTCAGATATTGGTCTAATATTTTTCGACCTGGTATCACCAAAAAAGGTTTCATTGAAATCAGTGACCCCACGGCTGTCCATAACCTCCCCTTGTCAGTTGATTATTGATCTTGACCTTTAACTGAATCTGTTGGAGTCAAAACTAATTTATAATTTGCCTTCAGGCTCTACATTCTTTGGGATATTTATGGTTTTTATTTCCAACTTATATTATTCTATTAGGTAGTACCATAAAGAGAGCAAGATTCTTCACCTTACCTAACTACTCTATCAATTGAAATACAGAAAGATCTCTGGTCTTAGCTGGCCATCACTGGCACCTGTGTCTGTATTATAATAAATTTCTTCTTACTTATAAGGTTCCTGACAGCTATTTTGTACTTACTTATATTATAAAACCCAATTTCAATAAAACTTACTTAACGTAATTTGAATCTGCTTCTTCATTATAGGTTGATGACTTAAAAGCTAAATTAGCCATTCAAGAAGTTGAATTAAAGATAAAAAATGAAGCAGCTGATAATTTAATTAAAATTGTTGGAGTTGAAACGGAAAAAGTATCAACAGAGAAAGCAATGGGTAGATACAACTTATTATTAGTGTTTTTATTTTTATTTAGAACATTTGTTTATGTAATCTAGATCGAATCAGTGCCTGGGCAAATGTAAACGGATTAAGGTTAAATGCTGCCAATACTCATGCCATTCTCATTGCTTCCAAGCCCCTTCTTAGATCCCATACCGACTTTCCCATCTTACACCTTAATGACCAGCCAATCTCCTTCTACTCCACTGTTAAAAATTTAGGAATCACCTTATTTCTCATATCTCTCGAAGGGCAATTTCCACCCTCATACTATTCCATTGCTTCTGCCACCTCCTACCTCAACATATGCGTAGACTCCTAGTTTCCTCTCTCATTTTCCCCTAATTTGAGTACAGCTGTGTCGTGTATGATGGAGCTCCTCTCTGTGGGGCTCCGCGATAGACTGAAAAGACTAATGAACAGCTGCGTACGATTTGTGATCGGGGCCCCAAGATACTCCCATGTTTCTCACCACTACGCTGAGAATCATCAACAATCATCGTCCTTCTTACGCCTACAACCTCCAGTTCAAATCCTCAGTCTATTCATTGTTCATAAGATCTCGACCTTCTAACCTTTACATGCCTTCTCACAGATCTGCCTCATTCCCAAACTCCTCTGTGAATTTCTGGAATTCCCTCCCTATTAAAATTCAACATTCTCCATCCATATCCACATTCAAAACCATCCTATTCCAATTCATATCCCCAAAACAGTCAAATAGTTGCTATAACTATTTGACAACATACATTTATTTCATGCCATTCATTGTCAAATATCAATGCTATTCTTTGCTTGAGATATTAATGTTCTTATAGTATAGAGTAAAGATTTTCCTACTCTTGATGTCACTGAACACATCTATTGGTAGTTTATAACTATTATCTTTTATACACCACTAAATTCTTGCCTATTGTTACGTTAAGAAATGATGATGATGTATTTGTACATTAATCAACATTTAAATGATAATGTATTTATATATGAATCAGGCACTTAATATTGTCAGGTTCAGATTTCTGTTTTCTCAACAGAAACACAAACCTTATTTTAATGAAGAATTTAATATATTTTATTTTTTAATTCTTTATTGTTTTCTTAAAAGTGTACACTGGTCTATCAGTGCAAATAGCTTAAAGTTTCTTGTCATAGTGTTAAGTGTTTTGTATATAGAATGTTTACCTTATATTTTCTTTACATTATTTATTTTTTCTATTGATTTTATTTTGGCTAGATGTAATCTTTTAATTTTGTTCTATTTTGTTATTCTCAAGGGACTGTGTCCCAGAATATCCTGCGTACTTTTTAATAATTGTCCTAATATAAGTTTTTTAAAAATTAACTTGTACAGTTTATCTTAGTTGCTTTCATATGTCTTTAAATTTACATTTTTAAGCCACGTTAAATTCTCTTATATTTTAGTAACATGACATGAACATGTACTTATTTATTGATGTCTAATTTTATATTAATGAGATAGTTTTCAAACTTTAGTTCATGTTATTCTTAGAAATAAAATAGTTGTCTCCGTATTACAATATTTTTGGCAATATAAAACCTGCTGAAGCTATTTCAATGAAAATATAATTTTAAACTCTGCTTAATTTATACGTTTGTCTTATTAAAAATTATATTTACAAACATGAAATTTTAGAAATGGACAAATTATGGTGATTTATTGATCAAAGTTTAAGATAAAAATTTTGTTCAAATAAATCTCAAATATAAACAGCATTTCACAAATTTGTGCTTCGCATTCTTTTCACAGATTTGATCGATGTAAATAGTTTGAAAGGTGTAAATAAATATAATAGTAAAGGTGACAACACTGGTTCATACCAATGAGCAGCATGGCCATGCTTGGCTTGGGGCTGTTTACCGGTGGCTTCTATTAGAATAACATTGAATGAATGATTTTGTTTTAATACGATCCCACGATCCCATAATACACATTTGTTATTACAAATTACATGTTAACAAAAATATTTATATGGTTGACAGCTGATGCCGAAGAAAGAAAAGTAGGCTTGATAGCTGATGAAGTCACAAAGAAACAGCAAGATTGTGAAGAGGATTTGAGAAAGGCAGAGCCCGCACTATTAGCAGCACAGGTAATGTATTCTGGGATATGCTTTAAATATAATGGACAGACCAAACAAGAAAATAATCTAATTGGATAATCCAAATTATTGAGCTTATAAATGACATTGATCATTATTTCACGCTTATGGAGGTTTAGAGAATATTTCTGATAGTACTAACTGAAATAATTAAACAGTTTATTGGCTAGTTTTCTTCATAATCTTTCCTAGTAACTAACTTATAAGTAATTAGTTTTTAAGATTAAATGAACAGTGTTTACGAGTTAACATGAAAATCTATATAAAAATTCTTAAATTTAAAAAGATTTAGTGTGTAATTTATTTTGACAAAAAAGGGTTTTCATCTTGTTAAATATAAGTTTCTGATTAAGGTTGATCGGTAAAAAGACCAATTATTGGTGAGCTGCAGGAGATAGATTGACCAAATTGTGAGAAAATTTAAAGTAATAATAAATTTTAAAGCTTCAGATTACAGTTTGTTAGTGTGAAAGATTTCAGAACACAAAAGTATTTGGTACCATCTGCTTTAATAAATTTAAGGTGAGATAACCATTGAATGACTCTCTGAAAAATTATAAGGGCTTGTATTTGTAGGGAAAAAACAAAGTTGAAATTTATTTTTCATACCCCAAAAGAATCTTAAAAACAATTTTTTTTCAAACGATTTTTACATTGATCAGACCCTTAGAAATTTTTTCTACAGTCATAAAAATCTCAAAAAAAAAAAAAAAAACACCAATACTACTCCATATGATTATAGACTACATGGAATGGTGCAAACCTAACCTCTGTAAAAAGAGTTAAAACCAAAGAAACAAAATAAAAAAGTTCTTAATGTCTAGCCTATAAAGGAATAACTGTTAAATGTTATTGATACAAATTGGAAGAACCGTAATTCAGTGGTTGTATTAATGTTGAATTTAGAGAATATCCATAATATTGAATGCTTTACTTAATGGTAAAAAAAAATTCTCTTAAGAATGTGTAAATAACCTACTAAAAGTTAATTTTAAATTACTTGTTTTGGCAGGAATTGGCGAATATCCTTCCTCTTTTATATTGAGGATTTAGGTTATTTACACTCGTGAATTATTAAAACAAAACCCCGGCACTGGATATAGACTTTTTGAGGGTATTTAACTGTTGTTGGGAATTCGGGAATGTAATACCTTTTGTGACACTAAGTGACAAGAAACAATAAGAACATATATATATATATATATATATATATATATATATATATATATATATATATATATATATATATATATATAATGTGGGACTGAGTAAATACACTTTGAATGAATTGACTCACCTTGTTTATTATTCTTCAGTTGTGAGGCATATAGGACAACTAAATAAAATGACTTTTCACTCCTGTATAATAAAACAATTTATTTTACAACTGTATACGTGGTCCTGTTTACAACTGGAAACTATATAAGTGAACTGTCGGCTTGATATTCTTGGTCTTCAATGTCCTGCTTCTCTCATCTCAGGTAACGTCCTCACGCCTCCATGTCTCGGTCCCAAGTGTGTGGCATCGTCTCCCAGCTGCTGCTACCTGACCAGACCTTTTTCCTTCTTTATTGATTGTTTATCGATATGAGATTTTCCAAAGAACAATTTGTCCGCTGCACAATTCACAGTGCAACCTCACATTCCTATATATTATATATTCCTTCTTATTCCCTCACACAATGTCAACTAAAGGAGTAGATACAGGAGGATGTCTACTACAAAAGTCAAGTATGCAAATTTTTATTTTTTGGTTTCTATAACATTTCTTATTAAAGAGTTTTAAAGAACTCTAAAAACAAATCTAACTTCCTTTTCTTTATAAAAATTTATTTGATCTACTTTATTATAAGCGTCTTTTGGTTTTTATGATTTATGATACATAATAACTCATTTAATATAGTAGCCAATATTTTTTTCTTATTGTACAAAAAAAAAAATAAAATAAATCAATCGGTATATAATAAACTAGAAATTCGGACAAAGCAGAGGTAAAATAATTTTTCTCAGTTCCCTGATCCTATTATAACAAACGCAAGTGCAAGTCTCCAATACTTTTTATGTAGAATCGCCACAAAATATTTGTTCAAAATTGGGCATCAACTTAATGTGGCCTCCCTTGCCCTTGTTAGTGTAACTAGTTTTCATAAATAAAAGGGTTTTACATAGATAAATGGGTTTAATATTTAGCTCCATCAAAAATGTGCTTAGTTACATTTTACCGTAAACTGGCAATATTTTTTTATTTATGTGTTTTTGTGTATTCTTTAGGAAGCTTTGAATACCCTTAACAAAGCCAACTTGACTGAGCTTAAATCCTTTGGTTCTCCGCCAGGGGCTGTTACTAATGTTACAGCAGCAGTTATGGTGCTTTTGGCTCCAAACGGAAAAATTCCCAAAGATAGAAGTTGGAAAGCTGCAAAGGTAATTAAAATTTTATAAATACATAATTTCTATGATTGGAAGGTGTATTATTTTTAGTTGAATCTTAATGAATAAATTTAATTATGATTGAATACATTTCTGTTGTTTTATTTAATTACAATTTTCATTTTTTTAGGTGACAATGGCTAAAGTAGATGCTTTCTTGGATGCTCTAATAAATTATGATAAGGAAAATATACACCCAGAAATTATAAAATCAATCCAGCCTTACTTGAAAGATGAAGAGTTTGAACCAGAATTTGTACGAAGTAAATCAGCAGCTGCTGCAGGTATTTTTATTAAAGATTCATTCCTAACTCTTTTTTCTTTCTATTGCTCTTTTGCCTTTCAGCATCAAGTTCAAGCCTTGGTCACCTTTCTCATTCCATCAGTCAATATGTATTCAGTCCTACCATTTTTCTGAACAATATCATTTTTGGGGTAGTTATTCCTGAGCTATTCTTCTCCTGGATTGTTCAATGTTCTGCTCTACATAATAATGAAAAATCACTAAAATTCTGACCTAAAGGATTTGACCACTAGAATGGTATGGCATGCTTTTCCAATAAAGTAATATTATTGGGGCACAGAACCACGCTCCGGCTCTGCACCAACCTAGTGGATGACTAGCTCAAGTCGGCTCAGTCTTAACAAAATTCTTAATTTTAACTTTTTTTTAAAACTTTGATCATTAATCAAACATTTTTCCTTAATATCTAAACAGGTTTATGTGCTTGGGTCATCAATATTATTAAGTTCTATGAAGTTTATTGTGACGTTGAACCTAAAAGGAAAGCTTTGGAACAGGCGAATGCTGAATTAGCTGCTGCTCAAGAAAAACTAGCAGTAATCAAAGCAAAAGTGAATGTAAGTAAAATTATGTAAATGATATGTATTATAAACTTTTAAATTCTCGCTTATTGTTTCTTTCATTAAAAATTATTTTTGTTAATGAGCTTAAAGGAAAGGAGACAACCTTTACGAGGATGTTTATTCTTTTTTTTGTTTCCCTCTTTAGTCTTTAGAGGAACAACTAAACCAATTAACCTGTGATTTTGAAAAAGCTACCGCTGAAAAACTTAAATGCCAGCAAGAAGCAGATGCGACAACTGCAACAATTCAGCTAGCAAATAGATTAATTGGTGGTCTTGCATCTGAAAATGTTCGGTGGGCTGAGGCAGTTGCTAGGTAATGCTGAGGCACTTGCTTCTATTTAACAAAGTTTTTTTTTTGTTTTTATAAGTCATCAAATTTTGACAAGTTAAGTCAACCGTGTTTACTTTTTCTTCAAAACGCATCTATAAGAGATCAATTTTTGCTTATCTCCATAAAAAATTAATATTTTTTTTTCTTATAAAAATCATAATTAAATGCCTGTTAAGGAGCAAATCTTGACAGAAACTTAATTAAAAATAAATATTGATAATTTAGTTACTTCTTAGAATATAAAACTGGTAAAGAGTCGTTGGAGAGAATCTGGAAAGTGGGCCTACTGGCCTTTTTTTGCCAATCTCAAATAAAATTAGATGTACCAATGAAGTCTATTTATCCTCCATCTTGAACCTTTTGATTTTCCTAATGAAAATCGATGGAGGAAACCTGTTCTAAGATTCTATCAGAACCTAGAATGCTACACCTAAGTGAGGCAAACTGTTGCCATTCTGCTTCTTGGGATATAGAGACTAATAACATCATTGCAATGTATAATTTGGCAGAATACGGTCCAGCTGTTGTTAAATTATTCTCTGTAGTGATTTTTAAGCCTTAGGAAGTTGAGGATCCTTGATAAGATGTATTAATAATTAATATAAGCGTTATCATTGTTTCTTTTCTTTTGTTACTGATGTATAAAATTATATGTTAATCTACTATTCTTATAATAAAGCAACAAGTGCATAATAACCTCAACTCATAATTTTTGATAAAGAAAAGCTGTTATGAAATAATTCTTATTATATTCTAAAGTAATATGAGGTGAAATGTTCAGTTCGTATTCAGGGAGATCTCTTACCATAATTTGAGTCCAGGAGGAGGGTGAGGCAGGGTGATGGCCTCGCGTGTCTCTTGTTTAATCTGGCCCTCGAAAAGGTAATTAGGGATTCTGGAATACAAACCTCTGGAAGAATCATTGACAGGCTGGTACAGGTGCTGGGATTTGCCGATGACTTGGACCTGATGGTGAGATCCATTTAGGCGCTGATGGAGGCATTTCTGAAGCTAGCTGAAGCAGTGGAAGTAATGGGCATGATGGTGAACCAAGAATAAACTAAATATATGCGAGCTGGTTCTGGTGTAATGGCTAATGTTGGAGGAGAGGTGAAGATGGGTCCATTTTCGTTTGAATGTGTAGACCAGTTCACCTATTTAGGCTCAGTGGTCAGCAGCAATAACAGGATCACCCTGGAAACAAACCAGTGCCTAGTGAAGGCCAACAGATGCTACTTTGGACTTAGAAAGCACTCGAGGAGTCGAGCTGTCACACGTCACACCAAATGCCAGCTCTACACGACACTAATCCGGCCAGTCCTCACTTACAGATCGGAAGAATGGACCCTAACAAGTTCTGAAGAAAAGGAGATCTTGGTCTTCGAAAGAAAAATTCTGCGCCGAATATTTGGTGGTGTCAAGGTAGGCGAGAATCGGAGAAGGCTAACCAACAGGGAGGTCTACGAGCTGTTCGGTGAGAGAGATGTGATGTGGCACATAAGGCTGGGGAGGCTGGGCTTGGTTGGCCATGTCGTCAGGACGCAAGCGGATGAGATCCCGAGGAAGTTGCTGGACTGTAGGCTGCATCGGACCAGAGGAAGAAGCAGGCCTAGGCTCAGATGGGAGGATGCTGTCATCAGGGATTCCAGGGAACTTCTGAATGTCCGCAACTGGAGAGCAGCCGCACAAGTCCGAGCTACATGGCAAAGGCTCATTGAGGAGGCCAAGGTCCAAACTGGGCTGTCACTGTTAGTGCAAAAGATCGTATGTAAAAATTGACTGTTTTTAAAAAAGAGCCTAAATACTGATTATTTTTTTATGATTTACTTCCATACACTCTTTTCCATAGTAGCAGATTATTTATTCCTGTTGCAGACTAAAAAATGTCACCTTTAGCACAATTAGAATTAACATATAAAATTGTTACATACCATCTTTGGCCTAACAGTAGCGATATATAATCTATTTTTTTGTATGTTGCAGTTTCATGAAACAAGGTACCACTTTGCCTGGAGATATTCTTTTGATCACAGCTTTTGTATCATATGTAGGTTGTTTTACTAAGCAATACCGTTTAGATCTATTGAATAAAATGTGGTTACCATTTCTGAAAACAATGGAAGTAAGTTGATTTTATACTCTTAATATTTACTAGTCAGAACTAATTGGTTTGTTTAAATACATTTTGCTTATATTACAGCCAGCAGTTCCATTTACAGATGATTTAGATCCATTAACTCTTTTGACTGATGATGCGCAGATAGCTGTTTGGAATAATGAAGGTCTCCCAAGTGACCGCATGTCTACTGAAAATGCGACCATTTTGACTAATACTGACAGATGGCCGCTGATGATTGATCCACAGGTAAGTGTTTTAATGACTAAATGAGTAATTTAATGTGCTGCTTTTTTTAATGTTTTGATCTTTTAACAGTTACAAGGAGTAAAATGGATCAAGTATAAATACGGTTCCAATATAAAAGTGCTTAGAGCTGGGCAGAAAGGATACCTTGAAGCGATGGAATCAGCATTAAAGAATGGAGACACGGTTCTTTTAGAGAATATTGGAGAAAGTCTAGATCCAGTTCTAGATCCTTTATTAGGAAGAAATCTTATTAAAAAGGGAAAGTTAGTGTATAATTTATTAATAATCTAGTTTCTCTGCCTCAGAAAAAATATATTCAAAACAATAATATAATCATTAATCTAAATCCTTTCGGTTGATAGGAAATGCAAATTTGGTTGTTCTATAAAGGGTTTACAGATTCAAGTTTATAAGTAATTTTTATATTGCCTCTTTCTTCTGAAATTAGCATTATTACTCTCATTAGCACCATTGACCCAGACATCCTATACTATTAAGTTATCATCTTTCAGGCAGTTTCACTAAGAAAAACAAAACAATTTATTGGTTATTATTTTCAGTGAATTATGATACTTGTTATTATTTAAAATACTATCCATATCAGGGGCTTTACAAACACAATTACAAATGTAATTAACACTAATATATAATATAACTTTGTCTCTGATTAAATACAATCAAACTTTTCAACGTTATCTTCAACTTATAACGACTGACTGTAGATGAATTAAGTCTCAACTATACTCTTGGATCATAGATGAATGATTTACTAACTGAACTGGACTCGTGGAATGTAGACTAATTACTAACTAACTCTGTGTATGGAACTTTTTCATTATATAAAGCAGTTTAATATCTAGATCATAGAAGATTAAACTAGAACTCCAATGCCACCCAGATCTTTTGATGGTGGATCTTTTGATTAACTTATGCCATTTCACAAATATCTGTTTTCAAAACTAAAATATTAAGTTTAAAAATGTATTAGATTATTACTTAAAAATAAATTTTTAATCTACAAAAAGCACTTCATATTGGTTGTCGTTAAGAAAATAGACTGATACCAGTTTACATGTATATACTCTTCTTAAATTAGCATTAGAAATATCATTAGCACAATAGATGAAATCTTTTAAATTAACATTTACAGGTAGATGTAATCCAGTATAATTTTTTTAATTACTTACATTCTGAATTTACTTTATTGAATTGCCCTGAGTGAATTGAGCAGCCCTGATGATGGCCTGAACTTCAGGTCGAAACGTCGGCTAATGTCAAAATAAATAGTATCATTTATTTTTGCCTTCTTATTTGACTGATCACCCCAACTATTCTTCTCTCCAAAAATATTTATTATTTTTGGTGAATTGGTATAGAAAATGTTTGGTTCAATTGTTTATATATTGTTGTGTTTTGTTTTAGAGCAATAAAAATGGGTGACAAAGAAGTAGAATTCAACCCAAACTTCCGCCTAATTTTACATACAAAATTTGCTAATCCTCATTATAAACCAGAGATGCAGGCACAGACAACTCTGATTAACTTTACTGTCACAAAGGATGGCTTGGAAGATCAGCTGTTAGCAGAAGTAGTGAAAGCTGAAAGACCTGATCTTGAGCAGCTCAAGGTTTTCTTTTAATTTCTCTCGATAATATGTAATATATATTTCCATATTTTAGGACTTTGCTGCTTTTTAAAGAAATATAATGAAGCACCAAGGTAAACATATTTTTACACAGTTAAGTTTCTCGACTGACTTCTTGAAAGTACTACTAATTTTGGTCGAGAGACTTAACCGTTTAAAAGTGTTTGATTAGGTCTTGTGACCACATTGACCCAACATGTTGGGAACTTTTGATCAATGATAGCAGTGTGACTTCTGTATTGGCTGTTTTTTTAAACAATTGCTATTTAGTAATAAAATATACTGATTGGCCCGTGCGAATAATTCGCAGGAAATTTTGTTTAGTGAAGAAATAGCAAAACAATATGAAAATAAGTAGTTCCTATTTATTATGTAAGGAAGGAATTCATATTTTTTCCTTGGTCGATTACAATATTCCATTAAATATAATAGAAAAAATATCTGTACAAATTGTTTTGCTAAGACCTATTTTTAAACGCTGATTGGAAAGATATTAAAAGTAATAAAGACAAAATAATGCCCCGATCATAGGATTCACTAAATTATTTAAAAAAAATAAAATGTAAGAACAACCAAGTATCTTTAAAAAATAATAAAGTTAATATATCACCCAGGATAAAAAGTATAGTAGACTATTCTATGCAATATCTTTAAACAGGAAGACATTATTAAGTTTACCAAAACAAATGGACTGTATCTTTGTTAATAATTGTCCGATTTTTACAATCTTTTTTTTGTTTTGTAGGTAATTTAGTAATCTTTCTAATTATCATGGGTACAATTCCGAAAAAATGCATACTTTTTGAGTTATTCGCAAATAAAGTTTCTTTTCCTTCATAATTTTTTTCCAGAAATTTCAGGGGAATAGGACTTTTTTTTGCATGCGAAGGAGAAGAATATCTTGAAAATGAGTGTTCAATCATTGGATTTGATGAAGATTTGACAAAGTTATAGCGTACCGACAAAAAAACACCTTTTAGAAATAATATATAGGATACTAATAGAATCTTTTTTATTACTAATAGAATGTTTATATGTTTTTTTTAACTATGTATACTTATGTTTAAGCATTTGTCTTACCTGTTATAACACCGACATAGAAATACTATTATTTCTGTATTTGCTCTGTTGACGTTCCTCTGTTATATTAACAGATAAACACACTTTAAGTGTCTCAATAATGTCTTAACTCCCCTTTAATTTTTCTTTTGTGTGTCTAAATATATCAAACCTTACTCATTGTATAATTCATATTTCAATGCACAAAATACAAATGTATATCATTGATTATTTTTACTTCTTATTTACATCTTTTAAACTATTTAACTTGTTCAAAACAGGCTGAATTAACCAAACAGCAAAATGATTTCAAAATAATGCTGAAAGACTTAGAAGATGATCTGCTCTCCCGCCTTTCTTCTGCTGGAGGTTAGTATTCTTTATTGCTTACTAATTTATTAATATTCAATTAAGAATAATTTACCTTTTGATGGCTTATTACTATTTGCTTGTATTTGCCATAATGATATTTGATTACCTTAATAAAGAATCAGTTTAGTTATTTTTGGATCCAGCACAATTTATACCCATCTATTTGTAATAAATTGTGTTACCAAATCTTAAAATTTCTCTTAAATAATTGTATTCTTACATTGTATTATAAAATATTAGGAAAACATCAGTGGATTATACTTGTTCTTAAAACGTTATTTAAAAAATATATACATATAGTTAGAATATGTCAAAATATGATATTGCAATATTACATGATAACTTTATTGTAAAGTGACCGGGATTTAATCGAAATAGAGGTTGTGAATATACTTTGTTTTTGTATAGGTAATCTTCTAGGAGATACGGCTCTTGTTGAAAACTTAGAAACAACTAAGAAAACTGCTGCAGAAATTGAGAAAAAGGTAGCAGAAGCTAAAGTGACCTCAGTTCAAATCGACCAGGCTAGAGAACATTATAGGCTGGCTGCGGCCAGAGCGTCATTATTGTATTTTATCCTTAATGAGCTAAATACAATCAATCCTATCTACCAGTTTTCATTGAAGGTATTATTAAATTTAGTATTCACTGTTATATTTCAATTCATAAAAGTGTTACAGTCTTTTTAGTATTCAGCTTGTTACTCGAGAACAAGCATTAGAGGAAATGCTATATTTATCTATTCAAGGAAGTTATTTTTCTTTTGTATCCAGCAATTGAATTACTTAAGTATTCTTTTAGCAAATATACATTTAACTTAACCGTCAAGCGCTATGATGAGTTTTGGATCTGATGCATAGTTTTTTTTCATCCTCCTCTTCCATTCTCTCATTTTTCAGCAATTTAATTAAATCAGATTTTTCCATGATTTTTTTTTTCTATTTTCGATAATAACAAAATCTTTCCCATAGGAAATTTGAATGATACATTGAAATGTTAACCTCTGAATCATTCTATACCTGAGAGATCTCTAAACGGGTTAATATTATGCTTTACTGGCTATAATTCATATTCTTCTAATATTAGTCCATGGTGCAGACTCCTTTTTATCAAATTATTAACATCCGGCTGAAAATTCGTAAATAGCTTCATCACATTGTAACCTGCAAATATTTTATTTATGATAATTCGCGGAAATTGGGGCAATTTTCAATCTGGAGGTCGGCAGACTTGGTCTATTTAATTCTGTACTAAAAACTCGTAAATACCAATTTGTTTTCCACTTAAATCGTAAGATAACTTGAGCACAAAGTCGATAAAAAAGGTGGCCTTCAAAAATATTGAGCCTTTTGGCGTGACCTACAACCCCAAATATTCAAAATAACGAGGTTTATAGGTTAAATGGCCCAATAGTTTTGTAGGCCACCTTTTTTATCGATTTTGTGATCAAATTATCTGACGATCCAAGTGAAAAGCAAATGGTTAATTACGAGTTTTTAGTAGCTGATTAAATAGACAAAGTTCGCCGACCTCCAGATTGAAAACGCCCCAATTCCGAGAATTTTCATAAATAAAACATTGTAGGTTATGATGAGATGAAGCTATTTACGAAGTTACAGCCGGATGTTAGTAATAATTGGTTAATAAATATTATTGTAAAACAGCAATGCTTATTTTGTATATATTACTACAAAATACCAACCCACCCAATTGTACAAACTATTGTTTTTCAAACCACTTTACTGTCTGAGGGTTAAATAAATTTAATAATTTAAATGTTACATATAATTTCATTTTACATAACCACTAATTATTAAATTTTAGTTTTCAAAATATAAATTTATTTATTTATTTTAATATTCTAAATCTAATTTAGATAACATTTAAAGCCAAATCTAATTATTATAATATTCATAAATGTTCTAGGCATTCAGTGTGGTTTTCCAAAATGCAATAGAAAAAGCTGTTCCTAGCGCTGATGTTGCTACAAGAGTTGAAAACTTGATTGATTGCATCACATATTCTGTTTTTATGTATACTTCTAGAGGACTCTTTGAGTGTGATAAATTAATATTTATATCACAGATGACATTTCAGGTATTTTTTTTTTTTAATCATGATTTTATAAATATGAGGCATAGAATTCCAATACCAGCTTGTTTTCAAGTTAAATTTCATGTAATTATTATGTATATATATATATATATATATATATATATATATATATATATATATATATATATATATATATATTTTTTTTTTTTTTTTTTTTTTTTTTTAAGAAATCTTTTGCCCCATAATGATCTAGTACCTAAACTTTTAAAAAATTCAAAAGGCTGATTTTGGTATTCTACCTCCTATCTTCAATAACTTTCCAACTAACTTCTAATGAAGTTTATAAACTATAATTTTGATCAAGTGATGACAATTATTAACTTTGATCAATTCTTCATTACGAAGTCTTATGTATATTAATCAAGGCCTTCAGAATAAAAACTTTTTAAGTCCTGTTTTCAAAAATTTTCAAGGAGTTTGTAAATTTATGAATAACTGAAATTTCAAGAATACTGTAAAAATTTCAGTTTTTGTATTATTATTATTCACACATTTATGAAATCCTTGAAAAAAAAAAAAAGGTTTTAGCAGGTTTGATTATAAAGCCTAAATTGTTTAATCAATATTAATTTAAAAATATAAATGCATTTTATTGCTAATGCCTTACCATTTCAATAATGTGCATTTTCTTTCTTTAATTTATTGTAATTTGAAGCCTACATATCTACTTTCACTAAATCATTATTTTGATGTATATTATAAACACATGATCACATAAAATATATATACATCATAAATAGTTGTATATGAATAAAGTTATGTAACAGTTTACTCTCCCAAAAAATTTTTTCTTTATTTTTATGACGTTTTGGGATCACTTTATTATCCCATCTTTAGACTAGAAACAAGAAACATTTTTGTTATTGGTATTTATATATTTTCATGGCATATATTTTTATAACTTATAATATAAATAATAGATTTGCCAATCTTACCTGTATCTCATCTTTCTATCATCTAATTTTTTTAAAAATAATTGTCATAATTTTAATTTGTATATAATTAGCTTAGATTCTGTTATGAATTTATTTACCTTAGTTATATTGTGGACTCCTCTAGGAAGAGCCCACACTGAACCAAATCATGCACCAAGGGTCAAATTCGAAGAAGTTTTATTTATTTTTATATATTTAATTTGTTAATTATGTAAGTGTAATGGCTCTCTATTTTAGTGGCATCTGTTTTATAATTTATTGCTTTATTAACATGTTTAGTGATGAATATAGATTCTATTATTTTTCTGTGTGTACTATTTGATTCTTTGGGTAATATTTGAGGTTGTGTTAAATTAAATGTATGTCTATTTACAATGCTATGGCTAGGGTTCTTTTTATTGTCTAATTTAGTATTTTTTGAATCCTTTAAATGTTGGTTCATTCTTTTTTCCAATAATTTGTCTGGATTCACCTATATATATTGATTCGCAATTATTACATTCAATCTTATAAACAACATATTTTTGCTTTAACCTATTTATTTTATCTTTCATATGACTTAGATGGTTATTCATTTTGTTTTGATTATATCTATTTATCTCACAATTATTTTCACTAAATATTTTTTTAATTTTATGACATAAAGTAGGGATATAATTTAATCTATATTTTTCTAATTGTTTTCCAGATTTATTTTCCAGTTTGTTGATTATTGTTTGTTGCAATGTTGTTTTCTGTCACTATAGTTTGTGGAAGTAAAAAAATCTTTTATGGGTTTTTGGCTAGTTTTTATTTTGTTTTGAATTTTATTATTAAATACAGGTTGCAAGTGAATTGCTATAATATCAGAAGGTTTTGGTGTATTTTCTATCTGTTTATTAACTTGAAACCATATTTTGTTAATGATTGGTTTATGGAACATATTTTCAATTAAAATATTATAAATTTTTGATTTTGTTTCTTTTATGTATTTAGCATCTGTAATTTCCCAAGCTCTACTAATGTGATTTTTTGTTGTGATTATTATCTGATATTTTGGATGTTGGCTATTGAAATTTAGTAGTCTATTACTTGTTATATATTTTTTTGGTCCATTTTGTGTTAAAAGAATTATCATTAAGTCTGAAAATCATAACTTGTCATCTATAAGTTTTTCTATTGTGAATATTATTCTTTTGTTATAACTATTAAGTATATCCAGCGAGCCTTTAAATTGATCTTTTTCAGTTATGATGAATAAGTCATCTATATATTTATTTATGCAGACAGGTTTAATTATTGTTTTGTCTAATGATTTATTTAATAATTTATTCATAAATATTTTTTGGGAGAGTAAACCGTTACTTAACTTTATTCATATACCTTGTATAAATAAACATCTCCCTTAGGACTTACAGTTGTGTTATGTCAATGTAACATTAAAAATCATCAGTTACTTGGTTTTTGTCATACAAGTAAATTATCGTGAATACCTTTAGCCTGTTTTTTTTGTAGCAAATGTAATAGTTTATAAAAGTTTTTGGTTTCAGATTCTCCTTAAAAATAATGAGATATCTTCTGCTGAATTGGATTTTTTTCTGAGATTTCCTATTACACCTCATGTTACTAGTCCTGTTGATTTTCTTTCTAATGCAAGCTGGGGTGGTATCAGAACACTGTCCACAAAAGATGAATTCAGGTATTATTATTATTATTATTATTGTATAATCTGATTAATCTTTTATTAGAAATATCTTTTTAAGTTGTTGATATTAATCTAGTTTTAATTATTTATTATACCATTTTTTGACAAATAAACTAGGCAGGATCATTTGATTTAAGTTTTTAATCAAAACACTTGAATAGCATATTTCACGATCTTACCTCTTATATATTTTTTTTGTAAGAATAGCATGCAATTATATATATATGTATTTTTAAAAAATTCAAATTAGCTGTATTTTATTTTATTATGTTAATACTTTTCACCGTTTTAGAAATTTGGATAAAGATATTGAAAGTTCCTCAAAAAGGTGGAAAAAACTAGTTGAATCGGAATGTCCAGAAAAAGAAAAGTTACCACAAGAATGGAAAAATAAAACACCTATTCAGCGACTTTGTATGATGAGAGCTCTTCGTCCTGATAGAATGACTTATGCTATCAAGTAACTATCTATGGTTCATGTATATTTGAACAGAATTAAAGAAATACAGAAGGCAATGCAACATATGATTACTAACTATTTTGTAGCTTTTCATGTTATCATTTTCTTATATTTCTTCATAAAAACATTATTTATTTAGAAACCTCTTGTGTATGTATCACTTAGGATTTTTTTTATTATGATTTCAGAGCATTTATTGAAGAAAAACTTGGGGCAAAATATGTTGAATCAAGAAGTATAGATTTTGCTAAATCATTTGAAGAATCGAGTGCTGGAACTCCCATATTTTTTATTTTATCACCTGGTGTTAATCCATTAAAGGTTAGAATCTGTCATTATAATATTACTTTATATTTTTTAAATTTTTATTTATGTTAATTAGCCCCATTGGAGATGTTCTTATCCACAATTATTATCTTGTCAAAGGACTTTAAAAATGAAATCTCATATTTAACTTTCACATCGCTTTATTCCATTAAAAACCAGACTGGTAAGAAAAAACTTCTTTGTAGATTTTATCATCGTGTTTTAGATCATTCCAGTAAAAACACATTACATGTCATAGCTTACATCAGGTGTTCTCAAACTTGGTTACAACAACCCAGGCTGCTTGGGCAGTGAAGTTTGTAATAAAACTTTCATAGAAATAAGAGATAGAGCTATGAGTCCCTGTCAAAACCTCAAACATTCAAAGAATTCAAATGTTCCAATCAAACACACTACAAAAAAAAATCTGGTACGCACAACACGCAACTTTCACTTACCGATCAACTTTGAATAGAAATTATTTTCGGGCCATGTTGGGCTATTATAAATTTTTTTAACTGAGCTAAAGCTAAAAAATTACAGCTAACAAATAATAAATACCATTAAAATAACAAAAGTCCTATTTATTATGTCACCAGTTGATTATGGATTGTACGACCCGTTGATAATGGGATTGTATGACTATTAGTTATTAAACTGTTATTTTTTATTGCAAAGTATACTAAAACAGAATTAAGAGATTTGCATTGCCTGTCATAAACAGGTTTAAAAGTCGTCACACTAATTATAAGTGGATACTGTTGGAATATCACAAAACGAAATTTCATCAAACTATTCGCTAATTTAATTTTCTAAAAGGTTACATGATGATTTTTCGGAATAAACGGACGATAGATACCTAAATATTTAAATATAATTTGAGATCTAGAGTTATTAAACTACAGTAAATATATTTAAGGTTATAAAAGTATCTATGAAATATTTTTATATTTCACTTCATCTTTCACACAAGTACTATGAAATAGTAGTGGATACTGTTGGAATATCACAAAGGGAAGATTCATCAAATTATTCACTACTTTAATTTTCTAAAAAGTTACATGACAATTTTTTGTAATAAACGTTGATACCTAATTATTTAAGTATAATATCAGATCTATAATCACTAAACTACAGTAGATGTATTTAAGTTTATAAACAATTTGAAAAAATAATTAGAAATTGTTTCTGATGTTAGTAAAAGTAATAGAAATATGTTTGACATTGTAAAAAAGAAATAAACAACTGAAAACATCTATTTACTTCTATATGTAATTTTATATCAAGTACAAATTTTTTGGGTGCATTTCTTAATTATAATAAACAATATATTATAAATAAAATTATAATAGGATGTTGAGCATCTGGGACGAAAGCTTGGATTTACAACCGATAAAGGAAATTTTCACAATGTTTCATTGGGCCAAGGACAAGAAATTATTGCAGAAGAGGCTATGGAATTGGCTTCTGGTCAGGGTCATTGGGTTGTTCTACAGGTTTGTTATATTATACAATTTTTTTTTTTAATTTATTCATCACAGTGTTTATTATGTTAAATTAATAAAAAATATATTTTATGTTACGATTTTCATTTAATGATATATCTTTTTTTCTCACAGAATGTTCATCTTGTGAAAAAATGGCTTCCTGTACTAGAGAAGAAATTAGAGTTTTTAGGAGCAGATGCAAATCCTGAATTCAGAGTTTTTATGTCTGCAGAACCAGCCTCTTCTCCATCTGCTCATTCCATTCCTCAGGTGAATTGATTTCCAAATTTATGTTTTAATCACTTGAAGAAAGTATTTTTACCTAATCATACTTCATGTATTAACTTTAAATGAGATTATTTTTCATATAAATTGATTGTTTTCTTCAGGGAATTTTGGAATCTTCAATAAAAATTACCAATGAACCACCAACTGGTATCAAAGCAAATCTTCATAAGGCATTGGATAACTTTTCACAGGAGACATTAGAATTGTGTTCAAAAGAAGCTGAATTCAAAGCCATCCTCTTTGCTTTGTGTTATTTCCATGCAGTAGTAGCTGAAAGAAGAAAATTCGGTCCTCAGGGATGGAATAAAGTTTATCCATTTAATGTTGGTATGTTTTATTTATTTTTGTTCACTTCATGGCTATTGTCATACGATTATATATTTATCTCTAAGATAAAACTGTCTTATTAGGTGATTTAAATATTAGTGCAAGTGTTCTTTACAACTATTTGGAAGCCAATTCAAAGGTTCCATGGGAAGACCTGAGATATTTGTTTGGAGAAATAATGTATGGTGGACATATTACGGATGATTGGGACAGAAGATTATGTATTAGTTATTTAGAAGAATTTATGCAACCAGAACTTGTAAGTTGATTACTAATTTTTTTTAATGCTCTACAGACTTAGCAGATCCTTCTCCATTTCTGCCTATCTTGCTCTATTAATTTTCAATAATCTGCATACAGCTCGGCTGGAACTTTGTTATTTCAATTTATCTATCTGATTTTTGGAATTTTCTTTCTTAATTTTGAGGCATTCATTGTTGCATAGAGGCTTCCTGATGGATTACTCTGATTGACGACTTTCTATAAGTAGTTCTTTAATAGTACTTCTCCATCACTCTGAAACCAGATCACTCCGGTTATCATGTGGAAGATTTTCCTCTCAAATCTTTCAATACTTCTTTATATGGTACTGGTTAGTGCCCATGTCTCCCAGTCATATATCAGATCTGGCTTTATTGTAGCATTGTACACTCTTAATTTGAGATTCACAGCAATTTTTCCAGATTTCAATGCTTTTGAAAGATAAAAAAAAAAACGATGTTGGTGGTTGTAATTAGCTGGTCTATTTCTGACCATTGGTCATTTATTGAGGTTATTATGGAATTCAGGTATTTGAATTTTTCTCCTCTCAGGAATGATTTCTCTTCTAGCCAAATTCTATTGTCGGGGTAGAATTTTGGGTTCATTATCATATATTTATTAATATATTTTTATATAAATAGACAATGGATAGTGTGAAAGGCAAATTTTTATTCTTTTTAAAGAAAAACAAAAAAGATTTTTATAAAATGTATTTGAAATACTGTTTTTATTAACTAAGAATAACATTCTACTTCATATCAACACATTTTAATTGGTAGAGTTCTAAAAAAGATTACATTATTGCATTCCCTGTTGTTCATTAATCTATTAATTCTCATTTTATTTTAATTACTATTTTTCATTCTAAGCCATCTGCTTGGCAAGCTTCCAAGGGTCCTTACATCCATTGGGCCATGGACAACCGACAGCTCTCCCCTTTGTCATATTGCCATATTTCGTCTACCATTACATATATCATGGCGTTATTTTAAAATTTAAATCACGACAACAAATTTAAAATTTATAAGATTTCATAAGTAATTTTATAATTTATTTGTTATAGGTTGATGGTGAACTGTTGCTCGCTCCAGGTTTTGCTGCTCCTCCAAACCTAGACTATCAAGGTTATCACACTTATATTGATGAAGCCATGCCTGCAGAAAGTCCTTATTTATATGGCCTACATCCGAATGCTGAGATTGGCTTCCTTACAACAACATCTGAGAAACTGTTCAGGACAGTATTTGAAATGCAGCCAAGAGAAACTGGAGCTTCAGGTGGTGCTACAGTGACTAGAGAAGAAAAGGTTTATTTCTACTTTCTGATCACTGCTTTTGGAAGTATTAAAAATTAAAATTACATAAGTAATATTTATGAACAGGTCTACTTTTATTTACTTCAATCTTCTAACAAAAAATCATTAGATCATTGGTTCTTCTGATATAGTTAGATGTGAGTGTAACAGAAGTAACCTATAGAGAGGCTATAGTATCTTGCTCTTGTGTCGGTTAGTTAAGCCTCATATTAGATACCATACTGGGGAAATCCCCGGCTAGTGACAGCACCCTACTATCCATCCTTATTACAAATATTTTGTTTATGAGCATAACTTTAGTGTTCACTAACAAGCCAGTGTATGGAATTTTTACAACAGTTCAATGCTCTTACCTTGGCCTAAAAACAGTTCATTATATATATATTTTTAGATTAATTTTATGTCACATGTTTAGGTGAAACAAATCATTGATGAAATAGTGGAAAAGTTACCTGAAGAGTTTAACATGACTGAGATTATGGGTAAGGTAGAAGAGAGAACCCCTTATGTAATTGTTGCTTTTCAAGAATGCCAAAGGATGAACCATCTTACGGGAGAAATGAAGCGATCCTTGAAAGAGCTGGATTTAGGTTTAAAGGTATAACATGATAACAATAATTGTAAGATTATATTGTACTAATTTTCATCTCATCTCTCATATTATTATTTTTATTTATTGACATCCCTACTGTGCCTGATAGACAATACGGATTTTAGCAGCAGTGAGATGTCTGCTAGAAAAACAATATTACAATTTCATGAGCAGGGCCCACAGTTTGATTATATGTCTTTAGATTTGGTCATGGTTTTCCTATGCTCATCCGTCTAGTGGCCTTACACGTGGTGCACCTCCTCTTCTTCCCATGGAGAAATGAATTGGGCCTATAATTGATTTCCATTTTCATTAGTAGAGGGAAATCGCTCTCTGTCAAAAGGTAGAGAATACTTGGAAGACCTAGGTTGCACTGGATGGGTGGGGTTGATGCGGATTGTAGAGCTCTTCTTGTACTAACTAACTGGAAGAGGGCTGCAAGAGAGAGAGATCAGTGGGTGAAACTAATTGAGGAGGCAGGAGGCCAAGACTCAGTGATGAGTTGTAGCGTCCATAAAGAAGAAGATTAAAAAATTATCAAAATGATATATACATATAATTTTTTTTCTATATTTACATCCCTACTTTTTGCTTACTGATAATCTTTTTACTTTTATATGTTTTTAATTCATACTACTTTGTTTACTTAGTTAGTTATAGTAATCTTTATAGAACTAGCAATCCTTTTTATAATTCATTATGTCATGTGTTTGATTTGATTTCTGTGCTCTTTTATAAAAATATGAGTTTCCATTATTTTTGTTTTATTACTTAGCCTTTTATTTATTTTTTTTGCAATATTTTTTTTTCACAATATAAAGAAACTCTCCTTTGTAAGTTTAAACTTTATTTTATATTTATTTAAGGGTGAACTGACGATTACATCCGACATGGAAGATTTGGAAAATGCCCTCTTTCTGGATCAAGTTCCTGCTGTCTGGTCTGCTAGGGCATATCCATCACTGCTTGGACTCACCTCATGGTTTATTGATCTTCTGCTGAGGCTTCGCGAACTGGAAACCTGGTCCACAGACTTTGTTGTATGTGATTTTTCATGATAAACTTTTATAAATATATATATATATATATATATATATATATATATATATATATATATATTTCAAAATTTATTGAGGATAATCATTTAGGATGATTTTAAAATATTAGTTCATATTAAATATAGAATTTTATTTAGTTTAATTGTTTATTTATATATGGTATATGAGTGGTTTCAAATCAAAGGTCAACATTATTTTCAGAAAGTTAAGAAAAAGTAAAATTTTTGTTTTATAGCTTCAATTTCAAACAGTGCTGATGATTTATTATCATTATTATTCTGCATCTCTTTATTGTATCTTAATCTTTTCTCATATTTTTTTTTTTGTATCTTTTCTGTTTAGTTACCTTCATCAGTATGGTTATCTGGATTTTTCAATCCACAATCCTTTCTAACTGCCATTATGCAAAGTACTGCTAGAAAAACTGAGCAGCCTTTAGATAAAATGTGTTTGCAATGTGATGTCACAAAAAAACACAAAGAAGATTTTATGTAAGTTTTGATTTGTTAATATTTAAGTTATATTTTATTAATAACCCATTTATATTATTATTTTTATCTTAGTCAAATGTTTAATTTTTTTTACCTACAAAAACTTTCATCATTTGTGTTTATCAAACTTTTAAAACATATTTGTTAGTAATCTGTTTACTAATACTAATCATTTTTTTTTCCTTAGAGAATTTGGTTTGGGGAGGAATAAAGTAAAAATAAATTAATTATATTTATTGTTGTTCTTTGTGCCGACGTTTTGGTTTAAGTTTCAGACCATCATCAAAGGTGTTGAATCAAATAATAGCCCTGATGATGGTCTGAAACTTAGGCTGAAATGTCAGGACAAAATTTTATAAAATTATCCGCTTTAGAGAGAAATCAGCTATTGACGTATCCATTAAGAGAAGTTTCAGTTTATTTATATTCTATAATATGTATTTTATATTGATATCATAAAGTACAACCCTCGACTATAGCTGCCAGCATTGGTGGAAGGGAGGGGTCTTAGCACTTTCTGTTCTGCCTCTTCAATATTATTTCATTATCGTTTACTTAAAATAGTTCACACAAAAAGTTCAATAAACCATTTAGGTAATAATTTTATTACATATAATTATATATTATACTAGTGGGTGGCTGCCAGTGCATTATTTAAAAAAATATAAAAGTATGAGATAATTAATTTTAGTTTATTAATTAAGTAACTAAATTAGTGACATATTGAATGAAATACTAATCAAATGTTATGTAATAGAAAACAGATTAAGAAAACAATTTAATTTTTATGGAGGAGATAACTTCATCGTTAAAGGCACCAAATGTGGAATATCAGGACTGCTAACCTTGGCCCTCCCAATATTTTTTAAGTGCCGTCGTCTATGCCCTCTTAACTAATATAAGCTATTGAGTTTAAATGTTTTGAGAAAAAAAAATTAATTTGATTTTGACTAAATTATTATTTTTCTTAATCATACTTCTTATTATAAGATATTAATAACAATAAAATTTGTCAATAATAAATAATGAACAAATAATAAGTCTTTAATGAACAAATAGGAGTCCTCCTCGAGAAGGAGCTTATGTTCATGGATTTTTCATGGAAGGTGGTCGTTGGGATGTACAACAAGGAATAATTATGGAGTCTAGATTAAAAGAACTGTTTCCAGCTGTACCAGTTATTAACATAAGGGTAATATTTTAGTTTGTCTTTTTACTTACTTATTTTATTTACTATATCTTGACTCTTATCTTCCTTCCATACTCCCTCCATACTTTATAACTTTTTCATCCATCTTCTATTTATTATAAGTATGCTAGTATCTGACTGCATGTGATTGATTATACCCTATTGCTAAAAAATTGACTACCTAGAAACCTGTTCAGTTTGATGGCTTTATAATGACAACATTTTTTATGACCATGGTTTGTTAATGAATTCAAAAATAAATTCTTTAGAGAGTGGGATATTTCAGTGCTCTTATGCTCCATGTCTCAGGTTTTAGTCCAATTGTGACAAGTAATTATTCGTTTACATCAGCCGTGGATCAACCTTGGGGTTCATAGACCCTTCAGATTAAACCTAGCCTCTATTAAGCGGATTCTTCTGATCAAATAATTAAGTTGAAAAACCTGATGGTTCAGCTCAATCTCTATCAAATCACTTCCTTATATAGCCGTTGGCTAGGAAACAGTATTTCCTCACTGTAGTTCATTAAAAAATACTGAACCAGAGACCCTCCATGGGTCGTAGTGGTACAGGTTTGTTCTTAGTTGTCTATAATATGTAGCAATCATGAATTTGTTTTAATTATCTAATTAAAACCCCTTAATTAGATTTCTTGCAAATCGCATGTATTTTTTTACAAACTCTACTTTATAAGGTTTCCATTTTATTAATATTATTTCAATAATTAATCTTATTCAAAAAATTATCTATCTCTGGTATAAAGCTGAACTAAATACTCACAATTATTTACAGGCTATTCCTCAAGACAAGCAAGATCTAAGAAATGTTTACGAATGTCCTGTATATAAAACGAGAACTAGAGGGCCAACATACGTGTGGACATTCAATTTAAAAACAAAAGAAAAACCTGCGAAATGGACTTTAGCTGGAGTTAGCTTATTACTACAGATTTAAATAAAGAACCAGGTGATAGATATTTTAATTAGGTGTTAGGTTTTTTTTTTTTAATATCTTCTACTTATTATATTTGGCAAAAATTTATGTTAAATTAATTATAGTTTAAGAAATAACATGAAAATTTGGAAAATATTTAAAAGAAGTTATATCTTTAAGGATTTATATATTTTTCGCCCAATTGGAATCGGGACTGATCAGTAATTATAGAAAAATTCCAATGCCGTAAATTCTGACAAAATTATAATTGTTTTATTAGTCAGACACGACATATAACAAATATTATATAATCCCTCTAATAAATTTGGTTTATATTAACATATTCAAAATTTTATTATATTCATATGTAGGCACAAAAATAATATTGGCCAATCATAGTAATATTTTATTGTTATGGTATATTGACAGATTAATACAGTAAGTAAATTCAAATAAATATATGTTTAATATTAGTTTATGTTTCTCTTAAATTAAATTTTAATAAAAAAAAAAAAATTAAATGTACTAAACATCTTGATGTTACAGCTTATGAAAGACGATAAAATAAATAAAAACTGGTTAAATAAATTATTAATCAATATTCGGAATAATTTTCATAAAAAAGTAATAATATGGACACTATTTATTTCTGTCAACTTGGATTTATCTGAAAAGAAAAATACAACTATTTAAGAGGTCAGCTATTTTTTTTTCTATGAAGAACATTTTGAGAATTATTATAAATATAATAATGAAGTAAAAACGATTAAAACATTTTTAGAGATATTTTTGTCTATTAATTCGTTTAAGGAATCGTTTGAGTTTATGGAAGCTTCCAAAGTATCAATATTTCTATTTGTTGAAAAAAATTATCAGTTTTCAATTATGACATATTCCTTATTAATGCCATCATGATGGGGATGGCAGTGCACTTATATCATGTTGTCACTCAGATATTGGTGACATGCATGTTGATTTATCTTCAAAAGACTAATTACTTATCATAGAAGTTAATTTTGAGAAGACACCAAGCTACTTTTTTGCCTCCCTACCTAGGCATTTTTTATTAGTCAAGGTGGTATTGCATATGGGATTTGTGCATGCCACTGCCATCGACAATAGCTTTCTTTGTTTAATTTTTTAATTATGGAAAAAGGTTAATGCCAGAGATGAACAAGATGTTAATCAATGATAATATTATCGGTTTATTACCAAAAGTCATGAAGTGAAATTTCATAACCTCAACTAATCATGAACTTTGAACAATTTTGTCTTTATTAAATCAGAAAATTGTGCTCTTGTTGTGACTATAATTGATGTATAAAAGGGTTTGTTTAATTTTCATGTCCTTACAGTGTATTTGTATCAATTAAAAAAGTCAAAATTCATAAAAATATTAAAAAAGTTAACCTATATCAAAAGTACACTTATTGACTTTTTGCAATAAATTGATGATATGATTAAAACGAAAAATAAAACTCAATGATCATGGAAACTTTAAACTTCGTACTACAAGATTGTAAATCTAGCAAAAATGTGGCATGATTACGTATTTATCTGATCCTGATTACAATTACAATCATATAATCATGTAACCATAATCACTGTATCGTAAAAAAGGAAACATCTCCCAAAATTGTGGAAATCCAAGTTTTCTCCAATTTCATTTTTTTTTTTTTAACTATTGTAATATGCTTCCATTATGTAGAAAATCTAATTTTGGCATATTTTTCATCATCTGTTTGACCCCTATTTCATTTACTCAATTATTAATTAACTAATAATTTGTGATAATTGTTTTTTTATAATATTAAGATGTAAATATGGTTTAATTACTGTTTTATATAAAAAAACCTCTTGAAAAAAAAAACTGTCAGTTAACCATTTTTCCCTTAAGTGCAGAGTAAATTTTATTTATAATAATAATAATGATTAATGTTTTTATTTGTTATTCTAAATAATAAATAATTGAAGAGTAAATTATTTCCAATTACTTAAAGAGAGGCTTAAAAGCAAATGAAAATTCTGAAAATATTTTCCCTTCTTTTCTATCAGCCTACCTTTAAATAGTTGTGTGATCGTTTGAACCACAAAAATCCATTCAGACATTTACAACATATAAGAGTAAACTGAATGAAAATTAGTAATTTTTTCCCTGGTGCGTGAAATGGAAAACTTTAAAATGAACAGATACCATAGGTTTTACTCTATGAAGTCACTTGTACTATGTGATTATTATTATATTGATTGTAATTATGACGATTAGAATTACGTAATTATGATTTCATGATTATGTGATTACAATCATAATCAAGGCAGTACTGGCGATCACGTAATTACCTTCTGTTTTTTATTTTAATTGTATTTGTAACCATTTATTGACTATCTGTGGTTAATACTAACTATTCTATATTATTTTATTTTGAAAATTGTATTAATGTCAATCTGTGATAATTAGTAACATTTTACTTTATAAAAACAAAAGATGTGAGAATGTAAAGTGATAGAATATTACTATTAATTGTAAAATAACACATATAGTCCTAAGAATTGTTGAATATTTATCAGTATTACCCACAAATAAATGTCTAATTTTAAAAATGTATTATAAGCTTTTTAATTATTCACTTGTTATATCATAATTTATAAAACCATAATTATTAATTGGAAATTAGAAGTGAAACATTTTTATCCATTACCTTTCATAATATTTTAAATATTAGTGTGCAAATAAAAATAATGTGGACCATGTAAATTAAAATGGTATACAAATTTTTAATAATATTTATTTAAATATGCCATAATTTATTGGTATGTTTATAATTTTACCAACGTTTTATTATAGTTGGCCAGTGTGAATTATTCACATAGTATATTAGTCAGTGACCAAATCATAATATAATATGGAAATAAATAAATCAAAATTTATTAATTTTGAAGAGGAATTAATTTTTTTTCTCAGCAAATTAAAGTGGTTCATTATTGAAAATATATGTGTAAAAACTCCAATATGTTGTGTCTTTGCTGGTAATGGTTCTGTTCTTTGTTGGCGAATTTTCCTTTTATTTTTGTAGGATATTAAAAAATCTTTAAAATTATCATGTGTATATACCTCCATAAAGTATATACTTTTTTAGTTATGCGCAAATATAGTTTTGTGTTTTCTCTATTCTACCTGGAACATGTGTTTATTTTTCGGTCCTGGTGGAGAAGGTAATCTTCTAAATTATGGCTCAATAATTGGATTTTATGAAGCATTAAGAAATATATGGTATACAATAAAAAAAAAAAAAAACACCTCTGAGTAAAATATTTAAAGATTACTAAATTAATATATATTGTAGTTTACCTATTTCTAAAGATGAAGTATGCTGACCAATGAAATTTGATTAGATCGAATAATGCCAATAATGAGAAAGTGGTTAAAAAGGTCTCACTTTTAATTACAATTATTGAAGTATATTGATTGTTTTATTTTACTCTATTTTGTATATTCTTTGTATAGTAATGTAGATTTAATTTTTTCCAACTATATGTTTAATTCAACATTTTTTATTTACATCTGGTAAAGTTAAGATATTTATAAATATTTGGGCACTGTTTATTACTGCACTATTGGATATTCCTTAGGCTTGATAAAGTATTAGTCAGAGTGAAGTGAGAAACTGAGCTCTAGGTGATTTCATTTTAAGTTGAACATGTAATGAAACAGCCAATCAATGACCAACTGTTACCTAACAGTTAACTGACTTCAACAGTTAACTACCTAATCGTTAACAAGAATGAGTCATAACATTTTCTTTTATTAAATTTCAAGCATTATTGTAAATCAACATTCAAATTAATTTATATTTTGTTTGCTTTTATTGGATTATTTTAAAATATTTTATGTTTTAATTAAATAATGATTATTAGTCATAAGCTTTTATATTTTTGTTTAATTTCCCTATTATAAGAAAAAATTAGTGTCTAGATTAGAAATGTTTGATATATTCAAAGATTGATATTTTTTGTGATTGTTTATTCTCTATCTATCATATTATTGGTATTAATATATGACTATTATGAACTAATATTTCCCAAACAAAAAACTAAAATTATAAATGTTAACAAGCGTTTACATCAACCAGTGAGCAATATCAAAATGATAATATTTTTAAACACAGTACCTTAGAACTAATGGTTTATTATTTTTTTTTTTTTTGTATCTTATTAATACTCTTCATTGGTTCGTAATAAAAGTGTTAATAAGTTTTGATAGGTTTCAGTCTTCCTTATTTTATTTATTAATTATATTTTTCTCAGTAATAAATCTTTTTAAAAATAAGCGATAATACTTTTATTGGTTTTTAGTAATTCACTCAATCCATTTTAATTTTTTTTTATTGACAAATTATGGTTTTGTTTTAACAAGGTTCAAACTGCATTCACTATGATTTTGAAAAACAAAGCTTCATATTTACTATCAGCACTACCTATAATACGGTATAGATCCCTTTTTAGACTCTCTTGAGCCTTGGATTTTGATAAATCAGCGATCAAACAAAAGAGAATTTCTTGGCAAAGTGTGCTAATTTAAATTTTGATTCTTGAATTCTACAATGAATTCAATAGTCACTATAAATTTCGTTTCAAAGATTTTGAAGTTGAGATCAAGGTGCAGTATAGTTCCCAAGGAACTAGGTTCAAAACCCAAACAGTGTTTTAGAATCCTATAATGTATTGTTTTTGAGAAATGGTAAACCACAATTCTGACTGAATGCCTCTTGGTAAATATGGTTACCATAGAGTACATTTATGTTTTAAAAATTAAAATATTTTCATTTATGATTGATGTCAGTTTTTGAGGAACTAAACATTTTTAAAAGGAAAATGGAGAATAGTTCTGAGGCCCTTTGGACTCCTTGGATAATATAGAAAGAAACTTTTTGATATTTTTAATAAATTAAAAAATATCCAGACATGGCTTCCATATTCTCAGTAATAGATTTCTATGCTCTTTTTAAACGAGATAACTACAAACCGGTGCAATAAAGGATTAGTATAAGTTCAGGAATATGTGTGTCTTATTCCTCTTACCAAAACTGGAGAGATATTTTCCAGTGAGTGAAGCTGATCACTCATTAAAGTAAATAATTGCTTTAACAGTTACGATAAAGTATGGAGCTTCATCGATAGTTTGTGTTGAATAAACTATCTTAATAATACTATTGTCTTATCATATTTATGTTGCTTTTTATTCATCAAATGTATTAGGGAAAAGTATATATATCTAATGCAAGTTCTTAGTGGGGTATTCTTGGTTGGTTGTGTAGCAAAGGCGTAGAACCTGTTGGTCATCAACGCCGTTAATTAAAATTATATATTATTATATCTTTTGGTTAAAATATTTGGTTTGGAGGGAAGTGCTATTTCTTGACGTACAGTACTTCTCAAAAAATAAATAAATACATTTCTTTTCATAAAATCAGAATGTATTTATTTATAATGAAACTGTTTTATGTCTTCAATTGAAGAATTTGGTGTATTGAGAATGGCACAATCTTGCTTGAAGTTTATGAATTGATGACACAAAACTGCCCCATAGATGGAATCAAAAAATGTGAAAGAAATTGAGTCAAGGATTTTTGTACTCTTTTCATTGAATACTTGGCAAGCAAAGTTTTGAATTTTATTAGTTGATGTTGGTGATTCTTGATGATTTTTATTCATTTTCAAATGATGTATTAATGGGGTGCACTGTGAGTTTGAAAATGAGCCCTATACATTCATTGACTCATGAGGAAAGAAAGCATTTTCATTGAGCAAGACCATTGAATGGCTCCATCACTACTAAAATTCCATGAATAAGTGTGGATTGGACATCATAATGCTGCACACCTTCCCTGCTTCCTTGCACCTCTTAGGAATTTGAAGAACAAACAACCCTGTCTTATGTGGTTATGAGTTGAGTAATTAAAAAGCAATAAGTTTAAGTTTGTAACAGCCTTTTAGTAGTTAATTTATTAGTTTCTCCATTTACAGATAAAATTAATTTTCTTATTAATTATGTTTAAATTAACTAAAGTCTTTTTTGCAATTTAATGACTACAAATATTATAAAACATAACAGTACAATATGAAAAGTCACAGACAAAAATCCTGTGTAAACAATAGGATGTGTGATAGGCCAGGACTGTGTGGTAATGCCCCTATAAGCATTAGCAGCACACGTTAAGGGAAGAACAAATTGTATTGAGCGGAGAATGGTATGCATGCCTTCAATTGGCCAAAACAAACCTGCAACATTCCGAGATTTTTTAATTAACTTCTTTTCTTATAAAATTAACATTACTATTCAATAATTAATAAGTTTTACCTCCAAGATTGTTGATAGCTACATAAGTTCCTAATGCCATATACAGTGCAGTAGTATCACGGCTACATGTCACTGCTATAACATAACCTGTAAATGTAAAACATACTAATGAAAAAAGTAAAAATTCTTGTTATACTTTTTTAATTTTTGAATACTCGATGATTGACTATTGTATATTATTGAGGAAGGAGATAGTTCGGGGTGGCAATCATAAAAATACTTAATTTCACTATTTTAAGTTTTTTTATGACCGCCACACTGGACCATCTCCTTCCTCAATTTATAATTTTTGTTTTTCGGCTAGTTTTGGAAATAAACTTATTTTCAATATTCGTTTTTTTTTATGTTTCGTTCATTATAGAAAAAAAAAAAAATCTGCATTTTTGAACTCTTTGGTCGTTTTTAGATAAGAATAGATATTTGCCTTACAATTATTTTTATAAAAATTCAATCAGAGTTCACTTTGGAAATAAGAAACTGATTTGATACTTAAAAATAAATTTATTATTACCAAATTACAAATCATTTTTAGCCAAAATTTTTTTAGCCAAAATTTAGCCAAAAGGGGAATTATTTAACGCCCCAGTTCAGTTAGACTATGCTATGTAAAACTTAACACTTGCACCAGATAGCTCAAAGTAGATTTTATATAATTTAATGTCGGATTTTCAATTATACAGGTGCACTTAGGTTGATTTGCTAAAGTTTTCTTCGATACTGGGATCATTAATTAGGTATTCTAAAGCGCAATATTTGAATTTACTATCGGATTTGAAGTTTTATTTGATTTACCAATCATCTATTAGCTTTTCGAAGGTACTAATTATAAATAAAACTTAATAAATTAAATAAGTACAAAAGCTAAAATTATTCCCAAGAAAAAATAAAGCATTTATTTATTTATTTATTCATTCCACCCTCCCATGCCACTATGGCAATATGGGTGTGTGCAGAAAATAAAACATGCATTTATTAATTTATAAAGTAGATTTTTTTGTATGGGTGCTTCATAGTCTGTGGGCTAGACCCTCCCTATCGTGCATCCTCCTCCACATCTCTATAAAAAGCATATTGTTTTGTTCCTTGTAACTATTTATTTAAAAAAAGGCAATATTCCCACAAAAAAAGTGAACGCCCTAAATGGCGTCCAAACATGGCAGAATGACGACTTTGACTTTAGTTAGTTTTTTAGTCTCTGAGAATTAGCATTGGGCTTAATTCTGTTATAGTTGATCTTTTATTAAAGCCAGATAGTCAGAGAATAATAAAATATAAAAAAAAAATAATTGGCTTAGGCAATAAAAAACAACAGGTTAGTTAAAATTTCCAAAAAAAAAAAAAAATTTCAAGTTGAAAATCAAGCGTCGTTTGTAATTAAACTGAGAACAATCAATAACACAAAACTTGTTGAAATCAAACATCTGGAGAATATTATATTTGTCTTTCTAAAACACCATTTACATTTTAAAATATTTGAAGGACTTCCATAGAAAATGCACTTAAGCAGCATAAATTATGTTATATTGATTGTATTAATGAACAAATATTAATGCAATAATTCAATAGTCCAAAAACATTAAACTATTTATTTAAAAAAAAAAAAAATTTCCTATAAAGTTCCTTTCTACTATACGGAGGTCGTTTAAAAAGGCCTCTATTGTAAAAATGATATTATTATAATAATAAAACTTAATTCAAAAATACTCTGCTGAATATCTTGAATTTTTTATTTAACTTTTGCAATTCAATACTTTTATATATTTACTAATTCATAGAGATAATTTAAATTGTGCATACTTCGCCAGAAAGGAGTCATATTAATTCCTGTTTTATAAACTGAAATAATATATATCTAATCTGAACTACATATAATGAATGGTTTGTGGGTTGTTTAGTAAAACTTATATATCACTAATAAAAAAATTAATTTTTATTTCCTTTGGTTTGTTCGGAAGTTGAACCATATCATAAAAAACTAGGAAATTTTAATATTGAATGCATTATTCTCACTGCAGAAAGGAAGATGGATGTGCGGAGCTATAAGTTCTTCTAGGTAACCGGAACTGACTTAGTATTTGGTCTCAAAATGAGGGAAAACACGAAATTGAACCCAAAAATACATTAAGTGAACGAGAAAGGAAGTGCCATAATCTCGGAAAAGAAAACAAGGGTCAGTATTCATTATATGGTTAAATGAATATATAGTAGACAGATGAACAGAATATTTCAAGATGCTGCTAAAATGGGGTCAAATTTTATAGCAGCTTGGATGATATTAAGGGGACGATGCAGGTTTATAATGGAGACCGTTTTATCAGCAAGCAAAATTTGTTCGAAGCAATTGGCCAGTCAGCAGGTCTGGACGAAGTAAACAAATTTTATTATGGAGAAAACCATGTTGGCAGTTTAATTACAAGCGATGCTTGATTTTCAACTTGAAATTTTTTTTTTTTAAATGTTGGTTTTACTGGTGTTTTTTTATTTCCTAAGCCAATTATTTTTTTATATTTTTTCATGTTTTATTATTCTCTTACTATCCAGCTTTAATAAAATACCAACTATGACGACATTAAGCCAAATGCTAATTCTCAGTGACCAAAAAACTAACTAAAATCAAAGTCGTCATTCCGTCGTGTTTGGACACCATTTTGGGTCAGTGTGTTCAATTTTTTTTTGTGGGAACATTATTTTTTTTTTCAATAAATAGTTACAGGGAATACAACAATATGTAATTTATAGGGATGTGGAGAGGAGAGGGGTGCACGGTAAAGGGATCTGGTCCACCGTGTATAAGACAAAGAATTAATATTTCAAATAACATTTTTGGTTTGTATTTATGGATATGTGCGAGACCATAATCGATCAGTAACTTTCAAAATCATACTTTTTAGGAAAACTGCTGTCCATATTTAATAGTATATTTTTTGGAGAACCTGCATTGACTTGAATAAGAGAGAACTACAATAAAACTGTATAGCTGCTCAAGTTTGTTGAATTGCTAAATGACCCAGCATACTGATATGTCCCAATCAATAATATTTAATAAGAGAACAAAAAGGATAAAGTTTTGGGGGATTATCATTGAAAGTATCAAATGTTATGATTTATTTATTCATTTTTATAATTTTATCCTCATTTTCTTCCTTCTCACAACTGTTGGTAGAGCTTATTACAAAGTGGTTAGAATTTATACAGGTGCAGAATTCATAATGAGTTCAAAATAAAGAGCAAATAGCTCTTTTCCACACCAGCTTTTCAAAAAACTCAGCAGGTGAAGGTGGAATCGCTCCTCTACTCCCGAACCAAATATTCTCTCACTAAATTCCTCTCTATATGTTTCTGTACCATGGAATGCTTTTTATATAGATCTCCTCTTTTTCTCTTTATATTTTGAGATCTTGATCCTCATTGTTTATTTCAAATGTAATAGTAGGGTAACCTATCAGAGCTTCTTTTTCTTTCACACTAAAGGCTAAGATATCTATGAATCTCACTGAGCTTTCCGTATCTAGGCAATAAACTTAGATGAAGTATCAATACTTTTTTGTCTCCAGGAATTCGATTATTAGATGCCGGAAGATGACAACGAGCATGTTATTTGGGTATTTGCCCAATACATGAGCTGTGGTTCCAGACTCTCAGCCATATTTGAAGCAGAGGGGTCCAACTTCTCCATTCACATGGTCTCTGGAACTCCACAAAGAGGAGCATAGTTAAGTATAATTTCGAAAAATTTGTCCACTCTGAGCCCCTAAGAGCCCCTGTCATGCATAAAGTTGTTAGCCCATAGGTTTGACTTAAAATGGAGCACATCTATTCCCTGTCACTTATATTTGCACCCTCTCTCTCCATAAAACAAATTATTATCGCACAATCATTCAGCTTGATTATAACATGAATGATTACTTTGAAAATTGAAATTAAATCAAATGATAAATTGAATTTGGAAAAAAAAAAAACTAACATCAAACTAATGAAACATAAATGTAACTAATTAAACATGTATTATCAGCTTTACAATATTTTTTAAGAGGTTTAAACGTTTTAAAAATCATTTTATAGGTTATAAATTATAATTACAGGTACTTTATTATATGCATTATTAATTGATTTGTTAAGATTAAAAGTAAAATAATTGTAATATTTATTATTTAACTTAAGAGCTCACCGAAACACATTCCACTCACTCCAACCCAAAAAATCAGTAGTATTGCTAGGGCAAAACTTCCATCAATTATATGCCCATAAAATCCATATAGTACACACAGCATACTTGCAGATTGAAAGACAAAGAGAACAAGTGTTACCATAGCGTTCCCAGTCAATATTTCTAAATAAGTCATTCCTGTTCAAACAAATTATTTTAAAAAATATTACTTATAAATTTATTTTAAGTATAGCAACAATGATTAAGTGTTAGCACTTGTATTTACAGTTGGGTAGTACTTCTCGTAAATTAAGTATTTCTCTCATTACCTGTGTACTTTTTAATTTTATTTGTACGCCTTTATGTAGATTAAGACATGCCTCTTAAATCATTGGTACCTGATGCCGTACATTCATCTAATATATGATCTTCTGGTGCTAAAAATTGCCTCATCACTCATTATTTTTCTGGAAATCTCATCCTCTGATATTTTAGGTATATGGCTCACGTCTGCCTTACCATCCTATATGCTTCATTTTATTAGGTTCATCGATGGGTTTTGTTATGTATTTCTTCATTACAACTTCTGATGAATGAATTCTCATAGGTTCACCATATATGTGAAGCAGAATTCTTATTTTTGAACCCTGTAAACTTTGTTCATCAGACCGTTATATTACTCCTGACTACGAGTCATATATCAGAAACTGCACTGATCAACATTTTATATAGCCGCACTTTGGTTGTCTTTAACAGATATTTATTTCTTATGTCTTCCTAGTCCAAAAGTAACATTGGTTAGCAATAATTTTTTTTTCAGTCGATTTCTTTGGGATAGATATGCTCACATTTATCAGGAACCCCAGAAAGACAATTTCATTCTAGGCCTTCATTGGGTTAGTAAAAAGTTTGATGAGCATACCTGTTTCTATTGCAGTGTTGGTCATGGAGCAGTATTTTCTTATTAAGTACTGAACTTAAAACCCTTCATGGGTTTGAGTGGTACAGGTTTTTAATGATTATTTTAATTTTTGTGGGGGATAGCTCCACAAAAAGATTGGTGCATTTAATTTCTACAAAATATTTTCATGAATGTGCTAGTGTTTTTGTTGGCACACACTGTTGAGAAAGAAGTTTGCTCGAATTTACCCTAAATATTTAAATATACAGACATATGTATAAATGGGTATTCTTTGTTTATATTTATTAATCAAGAGAGAGAGAATCACTTTATTATCACAAAATGGTGCTGCGCAATTGCATTGGGTTGCTAAAAACACAGCATACTTATTAATCACTACAGACAATTTTTAAAATAATATATAATTATATAGGATTAACAATATTTATGAGCATAGTATACAATATTTTATATATATGTATTATTGTTATTTTTTTTGTATATCCTTTTTTTTTTTTATTTCTTTTTTTTAACATTTATTTTCCCTTTCTCTCACTTCTCTCTCTTTATATATCTTTTTTTTCCATTTTCCATTAAATAAATACATAAATTAAAACTCCCAGCCTAGCCATGCACGTGGTGGTGAATGATTCCCAGGGAGTCGAGGACTATATTTTCAGCCAACCCCGCTACGTCCTTAATGTCGACACCTAGTTCCTTGAGGAAGCTCCTTGTTCTTTTTAGAATTGTTCCGTGAGACCCAAACCAGAAGCCTCTCACGGTGAACTCTCTCTCTCCGAAGGTCTCACGGAATTTCTCTTTTAGGAAAGGAATACATTTATCGTACGTGTTCTTCTTTTCCCTTTCCACTTCACCCGCTTGATCGAGGTCATTGCTCTCAAAGCATACAGTTAGATCCAAGATCAGCGCTGTCCTTCCTGTCTTGGGAAATGCAACGATATCCCTGTATCTCGTAGAGCCTTCACTATTGATGCAATATACCTCGTCATAGCAGGCGAATTTCCTTTCCCTAAGGAGCCTCATCAACTCGAATTTGACCCGGTGGTGATGATGTGTTATGAGGAGGGAGTTGTTGGAGCATGTTTCAGACTCTCTGCCACATTTATGGCAGAGGGACCCAACTTCTCTGACCTGTCCGCTGACACCTGGGACTCCACGCAGGGGTGCATAATTAATGTTTAGTTTTAAGCCATTTGACCATTCAGACCCAGAAAGTACTTGCTTTTCGTAGATGTATTTATTCGCTTTCGGGGTCTCTTTAAAATGGCGAACATCAATACCCTGCCACCTGCAGTTGGTCCATTCCTCAAATGCATTTTCTCGTAGCGACTGCCGGTAGAGCTTTCACATTTCGATGACCCTGATCAACCCTCAATCTCTCGGCACACTCAGCAACTTCTGCCGAATAATCAAAGGTAGATTGAAAAAGGACATCTGGTACATTGGACAGTTGCTGAGACCAATGTTGAAGAGGAGCCTCCCATTGGCAGTGGATTAATCCCAATCCTCGGTATCTCCTGGAGGCATACAACATCGCCGTGGAAGTATTCACAGGGAGTCCAATAATGGCTTTTACGCTCCTGCGAATCATAGTGTCAATGCCCTCCAGTATGGCAGGACGCAGCTTTGTGAGGGGCGCAGTTTGGAGAGGGTAAGTAAGACCTGGGAACAGATATTGATTGACAATGTTGAGTTTCTGTTCAGGTTTAAGTAAGGAAGATGTTACCAGCTTGTTTAGGTTATCATTCAATTAAGTCACCGAATCTTCGTTGAATTGTAGTTCTCCCGAGAATGTACATCCTAAATACTTAATCGTATCTCCATCCTTAAATGTTTGGATGTACTCTCATTCTCAAGGGAGAGCTCCGTAGTATCCAGCTCTCCTTTATTTAGAATGATGCCTATGCTTTTTTGAGGATTTATAGCCAGACCAATTTCTTGAAATGTCCACTGTATGCTGTCAATCACTCTTTCTGCACCCCCCTTGAAATTAAATCACTAAATCACTATTCCATCAGTAAAATTATAACATTGTGTACGTGGTGAAATTATTTTTGACTTTAAAAGAATCTGTGTTGTTTTTGCATCAATAAATATAATCGAAACTCACAACTACGTATAGGCAGTCCTGAGAAATGAATTTTGACACACTCAGGTTAGTACTGAGTGAACCACAAGGCTTACATGCTGGACTCGTTCCCCCTTCCAGTAAATGTATATCTGTACCACAGAAATATAGAAATAAGATTCCATCACGGGGCAAGGAGGCTAAATAGGCTAATACTTGTGGAAAACAGATGTAGTCCGGCAACCTGATAAATTGAAGATTACGAAGTTACTCTGGTAAGTACAGTGTGGCAACCTCATGGTAGCCATCAGTGGTTGGCAAAAAAGACCATGTTCTCACTTGCCAGACTAGATCTTTCCATCAGAATATCAGTAACGAAGATTTTCAGTTTATGAGAATCATCTTGAGACAAACCAAGTTTTTGCTCCATAGGTGACAACTGATCATATAAGATTTATATATTTTTAATTTTGTTGCTTTTGAGAGCAGTGGGATTTGAGAAGTTTTAAGTTTGTGTAGTAGAATCCATTACCAGCCATTATTCTGTTGTTAATTTCTCGGCTAATTGGGCATAGAGGGGCTAAATAAGAGAGAAAACTGTTTGGTTCACTTTTAAAATCCAGATTATTTATTATAATGTTGCTGCAGGATCACTTATTTGTTATTGAGGACAATTTTAGGTACTTGGTTTTATTTTTGTTAACTATAAAACCTACTTTATTCCTATTTTAATGAAAATATAATAAACAATAAATATTTAGTTATAACAATGAAATATTTCATTTGCTTTTCTTAGCTCCTTTTCACTTAAGTTAATTCAGAATCCTGTTTTTTAAACAACTCTGGATTGAGACAATCATAGCACCACTTCTTGCCTCTTCTCTTCTTCTGATTAGCCGCCACTGTTCACCTCTGATTCATTTGATATTTTTTTTTTATTTTTTTTTTTTATTGGATCACCCCCTCCCACCATTTCTGGTATACGGGGAAGTTGTTTTAGAGGTACAACCAAACCTATTTTAACCAGAGTGGGAATGTCGAGTTCCATTCCGTGGGTCCCCTATGAAATAAAAGTCAACTCTTCTCAGGCCGGATTCGAACCGGTGTCGTTAGGCACGGGAATGCTACAACAAACAGCGCTCTAACACTCTTGGCCTCTGACTACCTCAGATTCATTTGATTATATGGCACATTCTGGACTGCTCTCTGTGCATCTGACATTCGTCATGAAACCATAGCGTGATCTTGACCCTCCCCAATCAAGCACTTCTGGACTTTATTGCAAATACTTTACACCCCTAGAAAACTAAGAATAATTTAGAAAGTTAATTTTTAGGATTTACCTGATACCAAATTTCTTTCCTGGACACCCTCCAGTTTGTCTTTGAGTGTGGCCAATGTATAAGTTACTGGTAAAAAGAACTCGATCCTATAATATATACAAAATATTTATTTTTCCTAGAGTAATTTTTTTATTAAATAATCATATTTAATAATTAGTAAATCTCAGTGCTAATCAAAAACTCAAGCAGAAAAATATATTTGTGTGTTATTGGTTCATTATATTTTTGAATAAATACAATCTTAACTGATATATTTAAAGCGATAAGTTCATTAATAAAAAAAAAAAAAATTCAACCATACATAAGTAATACTCCAATCACTGAGAAATCTGCAAATGTAGGATTTTCCATTCCATGGACTGGCTTATTTAGCTAGAAGAAAAAATACACATGAAACTATCTTATATTAATTTAATTATTTTTAATTTCTTTATATAATTTTACTACTTACTCTCATTGGGTACTTGATGTGATCTACTTCCCAATGGCAATCAGTTTTCACCATGTCCAGGTAAGTGAGAAATGAAGTCATGAGAGCTTTTTTCAACATGTTCCTAATATATTGATCTAAAATAAAATTTAAAAAATGTAAATCATTACCCTTTCCATAAATAATATTGTAAATTCTTGTAATGATGAAGTATTACTTGACATGTCAAGTGAGACATCTATTTCACTTTGTTCCAAAATATCATCATCAACACCTTTACTACTCATTATTCTGGCATAAAAAGAATCCGTGAAGTTTGGATGAATATGTACATAACCCCATACTTTATTTTTTTTTGCTGCACTTTCAGCATTTTTTATATTCTCGAATGTGACCTAAAAATGTAAAATATAGATAGCTATTTTTATTTTATTTTTTTAGTGACTTAATGACCATAATTACATGAACAAAGCTGATTTTAAGGATACAAACTTTATCAGTGAAAAATATATTCAAACCAATAACTAATACTCAACTATAAAAAGAAGGTTTCCAGAACAAGATGAAGAATTTCAAGATAATTTTTATAGACATAATATGGAATAGAGGTGGTCTGACCAGTTCAAAATACTTATAAGCGTCCCGGCACTCAACCCTCCTCTCTCCCCACCTTATCTACTTGTAGCAAATAAATGTAATACCCCTTATAATGAGGGCAACCAACAGTGACTTGCTTGTATACAATGCAACTTTAGTCTTCCCCGAGTTTACATGATGGAATATGAACTCATGGCAGTAAACGATGGTGATTTTATTACTCATTCATTGTAGAAGGGAATGCAGATTGTTATTCCATTCAAATGGATATAGAAGAACCTATTATTGATGCTGACTCTCTGGACTTGTATCCGAGGTATAAACAAATTTCCTTTTATACGAACAAGAAACATCCAATCCCGACATAGCCATAACATCGGTGGAATTGCTTGACTGTTGTTATCCAAAAATATCCAAGTCCAACTGTGAGAGTGAACACCAAATGTTTCTTTTAAGGTGTAATATATCAATTGCCAAAACACTTGGAGAGAGAGAAATTACCCTTGTGGAACTTCAAAAAAGCCAACTGGGTCAAATATAAAAAAAAACACAGATAATTAATTAAAATACAAACTATCATTATCAGATTAAGGCTAAGAATGTAAAATAGAATAAAAAAACAACTTTATTATGAAGGCCTATTACAGTTCTAAAGGAACTATTTGGCTCTGTGTTCTAAAGCATATTGTTTTCGAACAAAATTGTAGTCCTTGTCTAAAGTCTCTTAGGTGCTTGGAAATGGGATAATTATCACATCTTTAGGTTTTAAACATTGAAATTTATCATGTTTTTTAACAAACTAAAAATCGGTCGGAAAGGTAAATGGATGCCCTGGACACTTCAGATAATATAGAAAAAGAAAATAGGTTTTGAGTGAGTACAATAATGGATTAGTGCAATTTCATGGATACATGTGTGCTATTACTTAATTATTGAGCTTGAGAAATATTTTCCAGTAGGACAAGCAAACCACTATTAAGTAAAATTTTACTTTAACAGATGTGGTAAAATATTAAACTTCACCTATTGTGTGTGTTAAATAGACTATCTTAATAATGTTAGGGAAAGGCGAGGTAAGATATTGAGGTTGCAATTTGCAATTTTTCCTGGCCACTGTGAGTTGAGAACTGAAATTTTTATTTGAACTTCTTCAATATCTTACCTGATATGAGTTTTTTCAATTGACGCTTTTCTCTTCTAAAGCGATGAAACATAGGATTTCCCCTTCTTCTTTTGCATCACCCTGTAGTGCCTTTCAGCGTAGGGAAGCGTCTAACATGGAATTCCTATGTTCACTGTTTCTTGCAAGATTTCTGGCTTGGCGTATATTCTTATTTCTATTTTTACACAGATGGTCTACGTATTTGAGATATGACGTTCTCGGTCTGCCGCAGGGTCTTCTACCATCGGAGGCATAGACCATAGACTTTAATGGATCTCTGTGTTCCTCCATCCTGACAACATGCGGAAACCACTTAAGCTGCCGAGTTTTTAGAACATCCTTCATCGAGGTAATCTCCCAATTCCTCTCTGATTCTCTCGTTGCGAATGCAGTTCTCTCTTTCTGATCACAGTATTGTAGATCTGGTAGTATTTTGCGTTTGCTTTGCTTATCCTGTTCAGAATTTTTGAATCCACTTTCCCAGACAGATTCATAATAGTACCAATGTAGGTAAAATCTGACACTACTTCTGTCACCTCTCCGTTGCAATACACTGTAATATCTTCCTGTACCCTTCCAACCTGTAGGATCTTGCTCTTTCTTGTACTGATGATCATACCCTTCCTTCATATGGAGCCCTTCGTTCCATTCGTCAACTGCCTGCTGCAATTTCTCCACAAAATCCGCAATTAGGACAACATCCTCCGAATATAGAAGAAACTGAATCATAACTTGAAACAGATTCTTTCGCCCCAGAAACGTCCTTTCTGTTTGCCTTTTGCAGATTGCAGCTATTTCATCCATGTATAATGTGAATAGCAACAGGCTTAAACTATCACCTTGTTTGATCCTCCTAGCTATGCTAAAATAACCACATTCCTGTCCATTCAGCCTGACTATTCCTTTTGGATTTTGGTATATGGATAGCCTCAACCAGGCTTCTAGGGAAATTCTTTGCTCTTAGTGTTTCCCATATTTCGTTTCTTGGACCGAATCAAATGCTGCTTGAAGGTTGAGGAATGCGAAGCACATATTTTTATCATTATCCCAAGATTTTTGTATTATATTCCTGAAGGTCAATATGTGGTCCTGTGTCTGATGTCCTGGTCTGAAACCAGCTTGCTCCTCTCCTATGAATGGTTCCACTAGAGGTCTCAGTCTATTGTGCAAGATGGATGTATACCTCTGGAGACAGGTATATGGGTCTGTAGTTGGAGCATTAGGCCTGGCTGCCTTTTTTATGTATGGGAATCATGGCATTCTGTAGGGATCCTTTTCTCGTCCCAGACTTTTTGAAAAAGTATAGAGAGACCTCACTGACTCCACCATACTTAACAAACTCTCCAACTAAATTATCCTGTCCTGGTGCTTTTTATGTTTTTATCTTTTCAATAGGTAGATTGACCTCTTCCTCTCCTATGACCTCGTAGAAATCAGCCTCATTCCAGCGTGCCTCCTGACTGTTCACAGGATACATATGTTCACTTGTGAATTGTTTTTCATAATGTCTCCTCCATACCTCCAGGATACTTTTTTCCTCCGAGACCATTTCTCCTTGCTCATTCTTAATACTTCTTATTCTTTTGTCTGTTCGGCCTCTCAATGCTTTGATCTTTTTCCAAAATAGTTTTATGTTTTCACTGTGATCCTGGGTCAATCTCTCTCCGAATTCTTCCCATGACCTCTTCTTTGCTGTTTTTACGGTCTCCTTAGTCATATTCAGTCACCATGACTGCCATTTTTCTGTGGTTTTGTCCCTGCAATAATTCTTCCAGGCTATTTTATTTTCCTTGATCAGTGATTTTAATTCATCGCTCCACCATGCAGTATGTTCATCTTTTGTAAGTATGCTCTTGACTTTGCAGATCAATGTAGCCGATTCCAGAATACTGTCCTTTAATAATAATAATAATAATAAGCATGTTGTTGACCATACAGAACTTGTTCAGTCGCTGACCGTTATCATTCTTCAACCTCTCACCTCCATGCGGACCCATCACACCATGTACTCTCAGGTAGTCCCTGGTCATGCTTTGAGGTCTCCCATAATGAGGATATTACTATTACTATTTTTATTTTTGGTCTTTGTAAACGTACTAGGTCTGCATAGAGCTGCTGTTCCTTATCTAGTATGCTTGCATTGTTTGTCAGAGCATACACTTGTATTAGGGTCCAGTTTCCTATGTGAAAATTAATATTAACTGCTAGGTGTGTGAGTTCACTGTCTTCTATTCCTCCACTCTTCTGAACAGCTCATCCTTCATTATAATGCCGACTCCCCCTGCCGTCCTACTTCCTGAAGGGACTCCCGAATCTAACCATCTATGACCGCCTTCCATCGTCATCACTTCCTCCACTCTTCACTGATTCTCAGAATATCCAACCTGTGCGTCTTCATCTCCTCGATGATTTTTGCTTCTTTGCCTATAAGAGATCTAATATTCCAAGTTCCCAACCGTATGTGCTTTTCCATGCCGAATTGTTTCCTTCTAGTCTGTCCAAATCCAAGGCTATTCGCTATGTTTCTTTGAATCGTTTATATATTCCTACGCCTGATTGGCCCAGTTAGAACACTGGTGGTGGTTAGCTATACCCCCAACCTTGGGTCTTCCCAGGGAAGGTGACCCTGAGTTGAGTACTGTAAATGACCTTTTATAATGAATAAGTGTATAGTGTACTGTTCTGGATGAGATAGTACAGTGTACTGAACTCGGGAGCCTGTGGGAGTGTTATACCCCCTAGTCTGGTACTTAGACTAGCCCTTGTGGGGTAGGATTTTCCCAAAATTATTATTTTTGTCATCAATCTCATCTATGATGTCAAATAGACCAGAGATTTTAAATCATCGCAACACACAAATTAAATAAGAATACCTATCAAACTTTATTAACATATAACTTTAAAAAGTAATATAAATCTGTGAACAGAATCACAAACAGTAATTAAAATATTGAAAAATTATAATTTATTTCTGGTGTATGGTCCCATTTGGAACTCTCAGAATGAGCACTAGCACCACAGCTCATCTTTGCCTTCCTTCCAACAGGAGATGCAGAGTTCTTCATCTTTTCTCTTCAAGACATGTTAACCAAACTGACTTTTATCAGTAACTGCAACTATTGTAAAAGAAACAGGTCTCATGAATTTTTGGTATGGATTATCTCATTCGGAATATTTTAGTGAGAAAGCGGAAAAAATGATCATAGACTGCTGATTCCTTCCGTCTTGAGATTCGAAAATTACTTCGAGGAGTTGTGCATCCAAATTTTGGTCACAAGTTAGCTCAATGGACTCACTATATACTAGTGAGTTAGATTGTTCACCATAACAAAAAATCTTATGCTGGTTAGGACGTGCTTTTATCTATGACAGATAGAGAGAAATAATGAATTCGACATCTTTCCTTATTCATCTTACCCCACCTTTCCCTATACAGATCATAAATAGATTTTAATTATATTTTAATTAGCAAATGTATAACCCTACTGTAAAGAATTAAGAAAAATATTAACAGAAATATTGATTAGATTGAAATAACAGCATAAACATGGATATAACGATTACATAATCAGATGGAAGGAATCAAAATTTATGAATTTGAGATTTGTAAAATTTAAACCATATATAAGAAAATAGATAGATGAAGTCACATTAAAGGAATGAGATTCTTTTAATACATGTTCAAAGCCATAAATAGACATAAGAAATGATAATAAAGAATTGTTTAATAGAATATGGTTAATAGGTGTCTGACTGTTACTAACCAATCCTATATTTTCCTCCTGTATAGCAGTCGTAAATTTGCACGATGAAGGAAAGCAAGTCTCATTAGAAAACGAATCACAGTCACCGTTGAAAAGTTCTTCATTGATTAATCCCAACTTTAAACCTTTTGGTTCTGACACTGCCATTTCAAACAATATGCACTGAATTACAGGGTTAAAAAACAGCATAAACCATGATCTAAAATAAAAATAAAAATACAATACAACACAATACAAAATTAATATTGAGTTTTATTTTAGGCAAATGATCAATTAACCATTACATTTTACTCCTCTTTAAAAAGTACAAATTTTTCATTATGTTAGAGATGAAATGGTCAGAGGTGAACCATTTTCCTTCTGGTATTGGTAGTTTGGGCTTGACTTTTGGTTTTGGATAATTTTCAATTACCTATGAAAACAAAAAAGTTTAATTTGGGTTTTAAAAAATTTTCTTTTATCTTAACCTATATAATCTTATATTTTATATAAAAGAAAATGAAAAATGACACCTATCATATGTCTCTAGTTGAATTTGAAAAACTACAACTGTAACAAAACTTCCCATTCTATTTTTGAGGCCAACCCATGTGGAATTTACACTTCTATTTTTTTTAAAACGAGTTGACATACCTTAGTAAATAACATATTTTTGCAACTTTATTTCAATGAAATTCTTGGGCCAAATATCAAGACATTTTACGATGATGAGGTTCAAATTAGTCTTTTTTTTGTGTTGAACTGACATCTTTGAAAATAGTTGTGGAATTACCTTACATCATTTTTACTTATTTGTATTATTTTTGATTTTTCGGGTTTGTTGAGGAAACAACACTAGATATGAATATGTATTGTGTTCCAGAATACAACTTTCATTCTGTGGGCATTTAGCCCTTAAATAAGTAAAAGTTGATAATTTAATCTTATTCATCATGATCAATAATCAGTTTTAGCGATTTTTTTACTAAATTTCATTCATATGATCATTCATGCTATTGAGGTACAAACTAGTGAATGATTCATTTTTTATCAGTTTTATGAAGTTTTTTGATTTCTATATTTAATTGAAAAAATATTTGAATGCTGATTATCATCGATTGAAAACATAAAAATTATGTCCATTTCTATATTTATTTTCTAGGAAGGGGTGAAAGTTTTGAAAATAAGTCAATTCAGGCTGTTATTGACTTTTCATTTACATAAAGTAATCTTGAATTTTTTTTTTTTCATAAACCACCTAGCTCCCCAGGTATACTTGGGGAAGAGAGGAGGTTGTCATTGAGGTACATCCAAACCTATACTAACCTGAAGGGGAACATATGTTTGGGTTAAAATTCCAAATTGGGTATCTATGATGGAAGAACTTAATTGTGGCAGTGACTTGGCAACTTCGAATGATGAAAGACCAAATTTAATACCAATATATGACTAATTGAAATAATATATCTTGTATCGTTGTCACAATAAAAACTTAAGTAGTATTTATTTTTTATTTACATGAAGTAAGGCATACCTACATTTTATTACATAATTTAATTTTTACCTTTTTATCTTCTATTTCTTCATTTCCTTCTTGGTTATAACTAAGTTGAAGAAATACATCTTCTAATGTATCACATTCATATTGTTCCATTATTACAGGAGCTTCTCCTTCAGCTAGTAAAACTCCTTCCCTCATCATACCGACCTGCAATACAACTGATTTGAAAAATCACGATTTTTTTTTTTTTAAAACAAAACAAAAAAATAATCATTCAAATCGGACGATTTGGTGCAGGGATATTCTTCTTGTTATATGGCGTTACGTCCCGCTTAGAGACAAACTATCTCGCAGCTTTGACCCCAGTCATCCCTGTTCCATGCTGCCACCTTCCAGTTTCGGATTCCAAGCAAGGATCGGGCATCTGCAGCAACACCATCCATCCAATGCAACTTAGGCCTTCCTCTTCTTCTTTTTCCAAAGATTTCTTCTAGGAGAATATTTTTGGGACATGGTCATCAGGCATTCTAATAACATGTCCATACCATCTGTGACGGTTTACTTTAATAAATGTCAGCATCCACATATCATTGCATTAATTCGGAATTAGTCTACTATCTCCACTTACTAGACCATATTAGACTCCACTTACACATATTACTCCTAATATACTCCTCAGAATCCTACTCTCAAATCTTAGCAGAGCCTGTAGTAGTCCAGCATAAGTCAGTACTGGTCGAACCAATGTCTTAACAGGCGGATCTTAGTGGGTCGGGATACTATTCTGTTCTTGAAATGCCCAACTAGTCCATGGCAGTACCTGTTTGCAGAGACAATTCGACGTCGATTCTGAGAATGACATTCTCGGAATTTACTTCCGCCTTAGATAAGTCAATTAAGGTTCCCGTTGGAGCTTCAGCAATACATCTTTCATAGCCTCAAACAGTCCTTCCAACAGTCCTTTGTAGAGTTCTTCTCTCATTACACTGTCATACGCAGCCCGAAAATGAACAAAGAGTGATGAGTATTTATCTTATATTTCCTGTATTTTGTTTTTCAGTGCTACCCTCAGTGTGTATATTTGATATATTGTAGATTTTATCCTTCTTAAGTCTGCCTGTGTACTTTTCAAAACACATCTCTTCATGGTGCTTTGCTGTTTTTAAGCATCTGGATAGCATTTCAGACTTCATCCTCGTCCGGATGCTCAATGTTGTCCTCAGATAATTGGACATACATGTCTTTCTCTGTATCACCTCCATCTAGCAAGCTGCAAAAATGGTGCAGAGATACTGCGTTCTAAATATTTAGCACATGTTCTATTGCGAAGCCATCTTCTTTGTTTTGGTTTTTGATTACTGGAATGCTTTACATCAACTGAAGTAGTCGAAATTGTTGTTTATATTTCTTAATAGACGTGAAAAAACCTTTCGTAGGGCAATATTATTCAACATCTTTTATCTATGTTACACGAAGTGGTAATAAAAGTAATGTGACATTTGATATAATTATTAGGAAATAATAAACTATTATGTAATAAATTTCAACGTTTTTAATTAGTTTTATCTCTGATGACTTACCTTATTAGCCTGTCTTGCCTCTTCTATGTAATGGGTTGTAATCATAATGGTTTTCTTCTTCACTGATGACAATTCAACTAAATGCTGCCATATACTAAAAAAAAATTTTTTGCACCATTATAGTTTATTAAAAATTTCTTAAATAATATTATAAATAAATAAAAAACATTTACCTATGACTTAGCAAAGGGTCTACTCCGACTGTCGGTTCGTCTAATATTAGCAACATTGGGTCATGTAATAGTGCGATTAACAATGACACTCTTCTCGATTGTCCCCCACTAGAAAAAAAAAATATGTATAAACAAAAACATAACTGATTTACAAATTTTAATCACGCAGATTAATACAGAAACTAACCTTAAGTCTTTTATTATGCGACTTCCAGAAGGCAATTCCAGAAGAGTGAGCAGATTGTATTTCCTATTCTTCAAATCTTCTCCCAAGATTCCGAACATACGCCCATAATAAGCTATAGTTTCATTTATCGTGAGTTCTTCAAGTAAAGCTATTTCCTTCAAAATATATATATGTATGCATATATTGAATAGACCTTCAATAAATCATTAAATTAACAAGAATATATCATAAAGGGCAGCTATTAATCAGTGCGAAAATTAAAAAAATAAATAAAAAGCTAAGGTGCTTTTGACCACACGATGGAAGTGAAAACATCAAGAAGGGGAGATTAATAATACGAAATATAAATTATAAATAATAGCTCATTATAAAGAGGTTGAAATGCTTAATTAATTAATAAATTAATAGCAAATTGGTTTGTATTTTTATTATTATGACAGACTAAGACTCATAAATTTGTAACTCTGTTATTATTCTTAGGGGACAGTAGTCCCAGAATAAATTTATTTTTTCATTTCATTCATTCATTTCAAATGTTGAACATTTCCCTCGCTTCAGTATGCAGGTCTGATTTTTAGTTTCGAAGATATTTTAATCCATATCTTCAATAAAAATCGTTTATTATTTGGTTTTCGACGTTATTTTTTCCCTTTTCACTTTCTAACACAACGTCGCGTTAAGATACAATCTTGAATAATAGTCCATTACAAGGAGGATGAAATGAACATATTCCCGCCTAACATTATGCAGGTCCAATTTTTGGTTTATCATATATTTTAATCCATACCCAAAAGCACTTAAATTAGGCGATCCAAAATGACTTTACCCGAGCGTTACACTTTGAAGATCTGACGGTTCAATCTAATTCACTCTCCATAAAAAAAAAATGTGCAAATGCGCTTAAAGAAGTTTAAACTTAAAAAAAGGGGAAAAAAAGAGATCAAGTTTATAATCAGTCACTAAAATAAAACTTTAGACCTCATTAATTCAAACATCATCATTTTAGTAAAACAATATTCAAGTATCATAACTTATAAAAGACACTACACATAATTCGTGTAAGAGTAATGCTATTCGCAGGGTTGATTCGTCATTAATTATACACTAATATGGTTGGAATAACGAGAAAGCGTTAAGGGGAAAATATATTTTGTATTAATTATATATTAATAATAATTATATATTAATATAATTATATTGCCCCGGCTTTGTTTCTCGGAGCGATCCATCTGGAAGCCTCTGCATAGCAATGAATATGTCAATATTAGTCAAGAGACCACGTGGAAGGCCCAAAACAGGATGGATACATTGAATCAGCAATGATGCTCTTGCAGATAACTGGAAAGAAATAGCTCAAGATAGTCAAAGATGGAGGAGGCTCAAGGTCAATAAAACTACCAGGTTCGCTCACACAGAGGGAAAATGGTGGGGAGGAATCGAGCTCTGACGTAGCCAATAGACTGATTTTACACCTCCGGCCTTTGTTTCTGGACATTTTAAGATTATTATTTACTTTTCTACATTAAATACATACTTTATTGCCAAATAACTTATTAATTTAATAATTTTAATAAATTTGAAAGGTGAGAGAAAGGTTGATTTGATATTTAGTTTATTCTGAAGCAAATAAAATGTAATTTAACAAGTTGATGTATGATTTTTTGCAAAGTACATCAATAATATTTTTAAATATTTCAAATAAGTACAGAGCATAATATAAAATAATAGAAATAATAAAAAAAAAGAAAGAAAAGTATTTGATCTAAAATTAAAGAAGCGTTTTCTTTCCGTGAATTTTTGTAAATATTACATTTTTATGTCATAAGTAATCCTATGTAGTGATTTTTCTCAAGTTTTTTGCCTTTGATTTTATGTTTTTTTAATTGTTGTAAAAATCTTTGGGTATTTAAAAATTTGATTCTAATAAATACCCGTTGCTGAAAGAAAGCCTTTACTAGTTCTTCATTAATTTCTACTATTTTATTGTATATAGGTATGTATGTGTTCTTTTTATTTATTTATTTTTAGGTTATTTTATTCTTATTTATTGTATATATATTATTTTACTGTATAATTTATTTTATTTATTGTACATAGAGTGTGAATGTGATCTCTGAACACTATTATAAATGACCTTGAGACAGATTGTAATATTTTTCAATAATTAAGTTAAAATTAAAAAAATGTCTACATTTTGTTTCCTAAGAAAAAGATTAGTCAATTTTTTACAATATTTTTCCATTTCCATTTTAAAATCCAATCTTTTCTTCGAGCGTCCTTTGGAAAAGTATGAAATGAAATTTTCTTTCCTATCTTCTTTGCGTCAATTAGATTATTGTTGCAAGATACAACTGCGCATTTTGTGCCTGGTATTTTATGGGATTCTATTAATAATTATGTTATTATAAGAAATACTAGAAAGAACAAACGAATTTTCTGTAACATGTTATTAAAAATAAAAAATAAATATTCGTTATGATATTATTTTAGAGACGGATAAGTAGTTGACTGTTAAGATTATAAGGTGATAATAAATTATCAGGATTTGCATTGAAATTTGTTTATTTTTTTAATTGAATTTATTTATTTAAAGAAATTTGACTGCAAATCCTGACAAAGATTTTCACCCTTATAATATTATTATAATATCGTTATAATATTAAAAGAAACACCCACGAGATCTACAAACATTGTGCTAAAATGTTCTCTAAATAAATATAAATCTTAGTTTTTTCTATTTATGTAATATATTTGTATATTATTTACAGAGATTTTGAAATAAAGAATTTAAAAATAATCTTAATATCAATTTCGTTTCAGGGCTGGCTTGTAATTTTCATAGCATTTTATTCTAGATTGATAGCCGTATTTATTTATTTATCTACTTGAAATTATCTTCAATCAAACGTCAAAAACACAGAAAAGTATTCTTCTCAATAAATTAAACAAGAAAACAGAAAAAAAAGCACAATAATGCTGAAATAAGCCCTCATTGATAGGCTTGAAAGAATAATAGGTAGGTCTGGCAGTCTATTCCTTACGTCACGTTTCAAGTTCCCCCACCATGCATTTATGAGTGAGCGAACCTGGTAGTTTTATTGACCTTGGAGGAGGCTGGTCAAGATCTACAAGGTAATGCCAACATAAAAAAAAACAACTACATTTTTTTCCATAAAATAATTAAGATTTTATAAATTTTTTTTTTTTTTTTTAATGATCATTAATGATGAGAACGGACAAAGATCACGAAGCCAGATGCACGATGTCACGATCTCCTGAGACGAGATTTTACCTGGCGTTTCGCATTCACTCCTAAATCGGCCAGTAAGTCGATAATTAAGATTGAAATTCAAAACAATCGACTCTGTCCAAAATGTACTTAGTGGCACTTCGAAATAAACCGACGATAAGTTGTAGAATTTCCCATCTTTATCTGCTCGGGGAGGCATCATTTATACAATAAAAATAATGCCCAATGTCTTACAAGAATAAAATTTAAAATTAAATCAAGGATATATTATATAAATCAAACACCTGTGGCATGTAACCTATTCCAGCTTTGGTTTGGACCCCTAGAATGATTTCTCCGGCATCTAAATGTTCCCTTCCTACAATACACTTCAGAAGAGTGGTTTTCCCACAACCACTTGGACCAAGAAATGCATATCTGCAACAAAACAAAAGAAAATCTTATAAACGTCTTAAGTGGCCTACAAACGACCAACGTGGTCGCCAAACTTGTCAACAAACCATGTTGATGACAAAGTTGGTCGTCTGTGGGCAGTTGTTGCTTGTTATTTCATGTCGATCATGTTAAAAGCATTATCATATAAATTTAATATGTGGTGAATAGAATGGGAGACGATATTGTAGCGTTGTGTGGTAGTTGACATAGAAGTTATTAGGAGGGGTGCCTAAGAATAGCCTACACAATAATCACTCTTATTATCTCATTACTTCATTAATCTACCATTAAAATCGTTTCGAGCCTCATTGCCTCATTATCTAGTTATATCATTATCTTAAAGCTTTCATATTTTTAACTTATTCAGTTATCTCCTACTAACACTTTTATTAACAGTCCATTATAATTATAAGTCATGTCATAAAAGATTTTATTTTACATTTAATAAAATACTCGTAAATTCATTAATGATAGGCAATCCTTCCCTCTTTCTTCTGTAGAGGATCCACAATTCAATTTTCAAGGGAGGCTTCAGCCCGAAACCTTTTTTCTCTTTATATATAATGATAATTACTTTGGAAGAAAAAGGCATAGACTAATTCCCTACATAAAATAGTGTTTAAGTGTCTAAGTCATAGCTAGTTTTCGCCCTGAAAATGATTATTTTTTAGAAAAAAAAACACTTAGTTTGTAATTTTAAAACATTTCTTTAAATATACACCAAAGAGCCTGAGTAAATACAGCTTACATATATTATCTTTTTGTTTTTTAAAAATGCTTACATTTTCGCACTTAATGAAAGTTTGACCATGAAACTTTGAATTTTTGACTTCCAATCCAGAATAACCAAACTTTGTATTTTTATAAAGTTTAATTTGTAGTTTTCAGAAATAAACCTTATTTTGGTACTGGGTTAATAATTAAAAAAAGAGAGCCGTTGCTACACACCTTGCCGGTTGCATTTACCCCATAGTAAATCTCTTGAAAAAGCTAAATATAATCAAGAAATCACACAAAACCCTGATTTTTAGATTTTTCCTATCACCTCGTGTTGGCTCACGAAAAAGTTCGTATCTATGAAACGGATAAAGATAAAAACATGAATAAAATATGGTGGAATGAGTGAAAAACAAGCTATGACACACTTATCCCACTGTCATTTATATTGCCTCTAATGGAGGATCCTAGAGTGAGGTTTCACCTCGGATGCATGGGATGAGTGCAACCAGTTGAGATAAAAATTTTTAAAAAATATTAAAAAATTACAGAAAATTATAAAAATATACGAATTGCAGGTTATTGTAGCCAGATAATTCTAAGAACTGTGTGCTGAGTTGTATTTCCACATTTCTAATTATTACTTAACAGTAACAGTTTAAAAATAGAACTATTTTAATAAACACTGCAATTTTTTCTATGAGATTCTGCAGCACACTTACCTTTTTTAAAATAATACAATAAGATATGCCGATACTGAATGATATTTTTTTCCATATTCACAGAGCAATAGCAAACACACTGATAGTTTCAATAAGAGTTAATAGATATAGTTGTTGATATATTACAAACAGGATAAATAATCAAAATTATTAATTGATTCATCGGTTAAGAAGTGAATCGTAGTGACATAAAAATATACAGGAAAACCGAAAGGACTAATTTGCCAATCCAATTAAAAATGTTGAACGGGACGAGGGAACTATATTAGTTTATCTCTATTGCAATTGAAGCTCCAAATTCTAAGTTTTGTTTATTCTACCTATGCACAACAAACATTTCATGTATTTTCGCCCCTCTCTGTGGCCCGACTAAAGTTCCTTAGTGTTTCTATATTCCTTTATTCTCTTATTTTGTTTTTGAAATAAAATCACTCTTTGCATTAATGCATATTAATTTATACTGCTTATTTATTCGAATTGTTTGCTAATTTAATTACCGTTTAATTTAGTTCACGTGGAAAAATAGCATTAATGTGTGAATTATGTTCTAAGAAAATTCACTCTCTCTTAGAAAATATATTTTTAGTATTTTGTTCAAAAGTCAATAATTATTATCGAGCCGTTACTATCAGAGATGTAAACTTTAAAGCGAGAAATTATGTAACAAAAGTTACCAGCTAGCTATGTCTGAGAATGTTAATTGGAAATTCCAAGGTACTTGTCTTTATCTTATAAATAACCCATACAAATTCCAGAAATGTTGACAATTAACATTTAGTTCTGGTACGTCCTACCATATACCTAATTTTAAAAACGTGTAAAATAAAAACTATATTTCGATATCATATAACATAAAAAATATTTTCTTAATCGAATAAACTTTTGAAACTACAAAATACTAAGTTCCTCAATAATGTATTTCTAAACATTTTATTTTATTTAAAACAATACATGGCAAACAATGATTGATGTTTTTATTATTAAAATTATTTGCATAATTTATTACCACCGATTGTTTAATCAATCACCTTAATGATATATTTATTTTAATTTAAATCGAACTATTTAAGTGAATATTTTTTTAATATGTATTAACGTTAAATTTAAAAAAAAAATCGACGATTTACACAAGAAATACTTTTGTGATTTGTGACTGCAGCTATACAAGAACAATTTGTATTAGAGAAATAATTTATTGGTATGTAAGTGCATCTTACAAGAGGAGGTTACAGATGTTGGTTCACCGATTTCAACGAAACTTCTTTTAGTGATAAAAGGTAGAAATATATTAGACCCATGCCCCCGAGGGTTCTTGCCAGTGCTTCCTAGGAGCCAGGGGATAAAAGCTTTACAACAATTAATTGTAGTCAATTTAGCTGAAAATAGGGATACTTTTACTTGACAGGATAAAAAACAATATTTTTTTACACAATTTGATTGAGTTTAATCTCAAATTTCTCACTAATAAACCTCAACTTAATTAATACGGACTTAAATATTATCAAACAAAGAAGTTTTTGTAAAAGTGGGGTATAACAGTCGTATAGTTGGATGATGATAAAAAAAACAAATCGCGAATAATTTTTTTTTTTTTTAAACCGAACTTCGCTTAGTTTAGCAGTTCAAAAGTCCTCTGTAAACTTTAATAATGATGAACTCTATGCTCATTTAAAGTAAATTTCATCTTGTTTACAATGAAGCAATTAATAATTACTTAAATTAAACATTTCTTTAGTTATTGCTTTCGATTCAACAAAAAACAAGACTCACTTAAAAAAAAACAATAGTTGGATTTCATACTTTTCTACTGAAAGTCGGTCTATTGTTTATATGCACTTTGTTTGTCTACAAATATTTCCCACAACTTACGGGACATCCTGTATAGTAAAATAAAAAAACAAAAGACGCTTCCAGTAATGTAGGCCAAGTAAATTTGTATTGTGATAAAACAGTTTACATTCGTTTCTTAAGTCCTCGAAAATTTCTAAATATGAATTTATATTGAAATAAAAATATATAAATTTTTAAACTTGGTTTAATGTAAGATTTATTTTCGTGCAGTTCATAGAAGCATTCTATTTAAATATCTCTACTTAAAGATCCTTAAATAAGAATTTATATTACAATTGAAAAGTAAAAAATTGTTTCTTTAAGTTTCACTGAGTTTAACGTGCATAATATATAAAATAAAGCTTTAAACACCAGGGGATTTCCTTAGAACCATTAATCAATCAATCAATCAAAAGCAGAATATTCAGCAAAATAAATTTATTTTACAGGAAGGAGATGGTCCGGGGTGGCGGTTATAAATAGGCTAAATAGTGACAAAACTGTTTTATTAAAAGCCAACGTTTCGATCCGACTTTGCAGGTTTTCTTCAGGGAGGTGTGTTCAGCTAGGAGTTTCACTTACAACTCACTTGCGTTCTAATACGTTGGAACTCCTAGCTGAACACACATCCCTGAAGAAGACCTGTAAAGTCGGGTCGAAACGTTGGCTTTTAATAAAATAGTTTTGCCATTATTTAGCCTATTTATGACCGCCACCTCAGACTTCCTTTATAAGGCAACGTTCAACTATTAGATATTCAATAAATTTATTTTAGATTGGAATGAAAATTCTTATCTAAGGTATGTCAGAAATCTATACAGAGCGAAGGTAGAAAATAATGATATAGAAAAAATTTATAAATTTTATTTCTCGACTCCTAAGGTAGATTCTTTTCTATGATAAGTTTAAGGGTGGCTAGAGGGGGAGAGAGATGCGTAGAGACAAAACATTTTCCGTCTATCCCCCACTCTTTTGTCTTCTTTACTCATTCATACGTACTTCTAAATTTTTGATTAAAAATATAAATTTCTTTTAGCATTGTTTTTCCATTTGTTTTATCAATTTTTGTTTGGAAAAATTGGTGTTATTGGAAAATTTGCTTTTTGAGTATAAGGAAGTTATTAATTGCCTACATTGATTCACAGAAATATTAGCTATTTACATATTGCAATTCATTTGATTCGTGCTAATGCGGTACAGCCTAAAATAATACATAATGTGGATAATTATCCTTGTTTTCATTCAGAAATAAATGAAAGAGGCTCCTCCCAATTATTGAATATCTGATAACGTAGTATCGAATTATTTTCTGTTCTGTATTTTCCATCTATTTCTTGATTTTTTTTACGATCTATTTCTTGGTAAATTTAGATCTACAAGTTCCTAATAATAACATCGAGTCCTGCGAACAGTAGATCTCGCGAATTCACATATATTTTTTTATCAATTTGATTATTTAACCATCCTTTTCATTGTTTTATTTCATTTTTTAATTAAAATCCCTACTTTTAATAAATATTTATGTGAAATTTGAAAAAATGGAATAACGCTTTCCCGGTATAAGGTGGTTGTTATGGTGAAGAGAAGTGGAGCATGGATACAAACAGAGCATAGATACAAACGGGTTCTCGGTATGGGTCAAATATGTTTTTTATTTTTATATATATTTTATAAAAAAGTATCATTGAAATCGGTGACCCCACGTCTCAACCTTCCCTTGTTAGATTATAAGGGGGAAAAAATCAATTTTTCACATAACAACGCACTTGTCAAATTATAAATAAGCAAATTTGTAGATATTTGAAATGGAATCCATCCTTAGCATTTTTGTACAATCCCAATACGTACAACAGCAAAGATTGAATTTCCAAAGGAAAAAAGAATAACAAAATTCAAAACGCCATATCTCTACAACCAATGGTCCGATTTCAATGATTTTTTTTGTTTGGTACAAAATACTTTTATCTTTAAATCCCACATCTAAACTAAAAAACAACAACATACTTTTAGAGTTATTCTCAAATAAAATTTTATAATCCTCAGCAGTTTTTTGCAATACCTTTCTGGAAGAAGTATGTTATATACATAAATTTATAATTTTATAGAGAAGTTTTCATCCAATCGTTACAGCCGTTTTAGTGCTACAGTCTGAGGAACAGATTTTTCCGCTGCCATCTTGAAACAAAACGGCAGCTGATGATGCGGCCATCCAGAGGCAATTCTCCAACACTTGCTTAATATAGATATAAATTCTTAATCTGCCAACTTTATTAGCAGAAGCTGTAGAGATGCGCAATACTTCAAAAACAGAAGACAATATGAAGAAACCTTCTTACAAGACGAAATTTAGACTAGATTTATCCAAAGTTTAATTAATAGTATTGGTTCGCTTGAGAACGAACTCTATATACCGAATTACAGCTAATTTGGTAGAACAAGAGCCGCCAAGAAAGCCGAAATGTATTAGGAAAAAAATAAATATATTTATATAGAATAGAATAGAAAATAAACTTTATTCAGGGACGATATCCCCCTAGAATAACAATAATGAACAATTACAAAAAAAAAAAAAAAAAAAAAAAAATACATATCTGGCCGAAAACTAACTTAATAAAAATTAAAACACAATAACTTAAATATTAGGATGTAAATAACTAAAAAAGAAAATAAAATCTTCTCAACTATACTTATAATTGTAGTGGTAAAAACAAATAAAAAAGGTTACATGTATAGAAAGAAATAGTAAAACCTCTAGAAAAGAAAAAAAATATCCAAAGTACGTAAATAAAAAGTGTTGATTTTTTATGTTAAAACATAAACCACTGAAACATAAAAAATATATACCTAGTAAAGATATATTAATGACAGAAGATGAGCCAACGGGATCACAATATTGCATCATCCCGGCATAAGAGATATAAAATAAGAATAAATATATAAATACATTTAGAAAGGAGCATTAAATTAATTTTGTGAGAAAACAATTGTGACAAAAAGAAAAAAACTAATTAAAAGAAAATAAATTAATTATATATGTTATACAATACGCAATGGTATTTTAAACTATAAAGAAACACGGAGACGAAGATAGGAAAAGATATATATGTATACAAAAAATGAAATTCATTTAAAATAAATATAATTTTGTAGGTAGAAAAAAAAATGGATAAAAACAACAAACAATTTCTTATTTTAATATATTTAACTTGCATCTCTAAAAATTCCACTGACGACTTTGGATACATTTTAAATTTTTATTAATTCCGAAGGGAAATAAAAAAAAGTCCAAACATAATTCCATTCGTCCAAGTGTTAACTGCACAGGAAAACTGACCATTAGTTAAAAATGTGTTTTTGGACGCCATTGTCTCCTACTTTATGGGCTTGGAAAGTCAAGGATCAGTTGGAAACGGAATACAATATTTTTCTTGACTAGCCACCTCTGGTAACGGTAAAGAAAGTGAAAACGTATCAGTGAGATTTTAACTATATATACTGAATATCTCTTTTAAGAAGAAGTGTATGCCATGAAGTGATAATAATAATCATTTGCTTTTTACGAATAATTCGTGATAATAAAATAAATATTAACTTATTTAAACAATAAGTTATTCTACTTACACTGTTCCCCTCTCAACGGTCATGTTGAGGCCCCTCAGGATCACAGCGTTAGGAGCGTATCTTTTGTACGCGTCTCGGATCTCAACTGCCTTTTCCGTTTCAGTCATTGCTATTGTATTTAAAAGAATCCTTCAATAAATATTCTTATTCGTCCTGAAATTATGAGACGCCGTGCAGCTCTGAAAAAAAAATAATGTTAACATTTGAAAAGAAGGGAGTAAGATAATTTGAATTAATTGCGCACTAGATTTTATAATGCTGTGGTATTTTTTATTATTGAAGTTAATTTTTTTCTCTTTTTCGTCTTTAATGAAAGTATGGAAGCTTTGAATTCATATAGGAGGCTAAAAAAGTTCTGCCCTTTGAATGGAAAATATTCACTCATGTGTTACATTTTATACATCAAGAAATAAATGTGGGACATTTTATCATTATATTAATTAATTTAATTAGGTACTAAAAACTTATAAATACATATAACTAATAATATATATAAATAAAAATATCTTTCCATCTGAATCGTAAGATAATATAATCACAAAATCGGAAAATGGTGGCTTACAAAAATATCGGACCGTTTGGCCTATGCAACCTCGTTATTTTGACATGTTGACGATGGAGATCAGGTCAAATGGTGCAATATATTTGTAACCCACCTTTATTCTCGAGTTTGTGATCAAATTATCTTACGATTCAAGTGGAAAGCAAATGGGTGATTATGAGTTTTTAGTATTATTTAGTTAAATAGACAAGGTTTGCCGATCTCTAGATTGAAAACACCCCAATTCCGAGAATTTTCGTTTAAAAAAATCTGGTGTGCGCATCACACGACTTTCACTTACCACCCTCTTCTTAGCAGAAATAATTATTTTCAGACCAAGGGGAAGTGGGGATAAAAATTACCCTCTACACTATATTTATTGACATTTCATTCTGGGTATTTTTATTTGTTTAAATTCCTTTATATACAAGGTGTTTCAGGGTTAAGTAGCTATAGTTAAAATACGAAGTAAGGACCTCCAAACAAAAAATTCCTATGGAGGTATGTCGGCAAACGCTTTTCTTAGGAGATATTCAAACCTAAAGATTTTCATCGTTATGAATCATTTACGTTATATTACGTAAATAAAACTTATTTATTTGTTCCAACTACTTTAATAATTAAACGTAAACATTAAATTCATATTAAATGTTGTTCAAACAGATTTCCCAGAAAATTAAGACAGACTCGCCATCTTTCTTCAACAGCAGCAGTGGCAGAACGGCACTAGATATGTATGATTGTTTCACAAGATCCTATTATCATTCTTTGTAATTAAGATCATTGACTGGAACTAATTAATAAAGTAGTTAGAACAAATAAATTGGTTTTATTTATTTCATATAACGTAAATAATTCATAACAACGAAATCTTTAGGTGTGAATATCTCCTAAACAAAGTGTTTGCGGACATACCTTCAGAGGAAATTTTTTTCTTGTTTTGAGATCCTTAGTTAAAATTTCGAGTTCGGCCACTTAACCCTGAAACACTCTGTATACAAATTTTAATTTGTATGGTGCTGTAAGCTATACAATTAAATATTAAATAATACCAACGATAGCATTTATGAATGCCGCATATGTATATATACATTATATTGTCGGAGTTCGCATTATATTAAGTTCATGTTACGTATGGAAGCGTTTATCTTTCAGGCGCTCTCGTATTCCTTCGGTTTTTCCATTACAACTATCATCTGTTAAGATCTCTTATTTCTCCTTTAGTTAATTATAAAATTCTTTCATATTTTATATTTAATTATTTTTTATATCAAAGATTAATGTGAAATGGTTAATTATTTAAAAGAAAAAAAATTAAAGGTACTTTAGAGGCAGGTAATATTGAAAATTAGCCATTAGAGCCTGTTAGAGATCATCAATGAGAATAAAACCTACATTATATTAAAAACTGCTAAGAGCTTTTTTCAAGAAAATCGTTAAAATGTGTAACATCGATTATATAAAGTGCCACTTCCGATTTTGGTGAAACGTTGCTGTAACATCTCAGATATAGATAAACGTTAAATATGCAATTTCACTTTTATAAGACTTTTCGTTTTCGAACTAGACTGATCACACACACACACACAGACCATTTTGTAGACCAAGTTGTAGGTTAAGATAAGATGATGTTATTCACAAAGTTTTAGGCGGATGTTAATAATTTGATAAAAACGGGTCTCTTCTGCGGACATTTTGTGGTTGGTATAAAAATAGTCAACATTACAAGAGAAGTTACAAAATAGTCAACATTACAAGAGAAGTGACAAAATAGTCGACATTACAAGAGAAGTGACAAAATAGTCAATAGTACAAAACACATTTTTTTATTTTATTTATTTATTCATGAGATTTACAACTGTATAAATTAAAAATACATCCAGTAAATGTGCACACGGTAATAATACAATCACATGAGAACGCTCGTTGAGAAACGACCCATTGGTAGCACGCTAATAATATATTTACATAAGTAGATCACGAGACCATCTTCTTTTCAGACGCCTTGGAGGGTAATCAGGTATTGAAGAGGAGTCAAGGATCGGAAACATATGGTACGTTAAGGTCATTATGAATGATTTTATTTGTGACAAAGTAAGCAGCATTGAGGATTTTACGAAGGATTTTAGATTGTAAGGATACGAGAGGAATTTGATGGTTTAGTGGAGCCCCAAAGCTCAATTCCGTAAGTACAGATTGGCTTTGGTATAGTCACGTATAATACTAGCGGAACCAAGATTTAATTTTGGGGGAGGAGGGCTTCAACCCGAAAGCTTTTTTTTTTTCATAAAAATAACGATAATTACTTTGGAAAAAAAGAAAGAAACTAGCTACCTACATGAAATGGTGTTTAAGTGATTCCAGTCCTTTTAAATGTAATTATACGAACAATAATACTTTAAGAGATAATTTTTCAATATTTTTTTCCATGAAACATGATTATATTTTACCATTTTTGGGGGGGAGGGAGCTTCAGCCCAAAGCCCCCCTCTCCGTAGGTCAGCCCGTGATGTATATGAGTCTTTTGTAATACATAAAAAGTATAGAGCGCTTGTCTAGTAAGTGCTGGAGAAGTCGAAAACGTCGAGAAGTTTCTTGTCGTTTCAGTCTTGTTTGAGGATTCCAAGTGAGTTTTTGTCCAGATGGAGTCCCAGGTATTGGAACAGGGATAAGTGGCGAATTGTTAAATGATACTGTAGGACAGAAAGTCATAGGTTTACGTCGAACAAAACACATTAAATATCGATTTCGAATTACAATTCATTTTTTTCCATGGCCTAATCATTTAATGAGATTAATTAAAACTCGAGACAAACACTTATATGTAAGATAATATGATGATGGTAATGTATGTAATAATTCACGTCACTGGATCCTCATTTTTAAATTATTTTTAAAATCTTTTATTCATTGTCACCCACTATATCTCTGGTATCATCCTTTATTTCTGTATCTGACAACTTCTTCTTATTTTATATCTACTTATATTTAATTTTTATTCTCAACATGTTTTATATCTTTTGTAGCCCTGAAGTGGGTCGAAACGTCGGCAAAATTAAAATAAAATAATTACTATATTTTAATTTAGTATTTATCTGACCGCACCTCCGACAAACTCCTTCTCATATTTTTAAAATCTTTTACTTTCCTTTTCTCTTATACAAGCTAATGTTCAAATCGACTAATGAGCTGTGATAAATAAAACTAAATAGAGCACATTTAATATTATGTTAGGAATCTGTGCTGCAGCACTAACATTGTAGAGATAGCCAACAAGAGCAATTTAAATGCTCCTTCAGAAAATATGGGATAATTGAGGCTAGTTTATCTACAGTTTACTAGAAGTGGCTAATTCCAGAGTTTTATCTTCCACTTAGGATTGAGAAAGCAGTCGTCGTCTGCTAAAGTGAGCTAAACGAATAATGTTACGGAAATGAATTTTGAGTACTTGTATCCATTTTTTTTTACATTTTTGTTAACTTCAGCAGTGCGATGAAAACGGATCCAGTTTTAAGGTAATAATATTTTTTACATACTTATACATATACATGTAATTTATATTATAGACTAGTTAGTCTAATGAACAATGTGCATAATTGGTCGGTCACCAAGTGAAAATAAGTTTAGTACTAATGAATAGTATATTATTTTGAAAAGTAGTGATAAATATTAGTCTCATAAAAATAAATAAAATCTTATAAAAAATAAATACAAAATTACTATCGTTATGTATACCTTTCATTGTAAAAACACTTTAAATTATTACATAATGGTTTATTATTTCTAAATAGTTATATATCAAATGTATGCGGCGTCATACTACATTCCTTACCTCTTCTGGGAAAAAATAAAGACAAAAATTGCCTCATGAAGATTTTTTTTTTCTTTTTTTGTTTGCACAGAACATATGCTAATAGTTGAACGTGTTATAATTCTCCTCAGAGTTTTGTATGATTTTTTTTTTCATTTCTTTACATTTTAAATATGTTTACTAGTAATAAACTACAAAGTGGCCATTTTTTTAGTAAAGCCCCAGTAAAATTCTGCATTGATCGTTACTTTTTCCAGCTTCGATCCAGGAAGTTCTATTCACACATATATTTATAGAGCTTCAAGAAGAAGACTTTAGGCAAGTTTAATTACAGTTTTGTTTCTAGTCTATCGATTTTATCGAACACAGATTTTTTGGCCACCATATTGAAAAGAACGAGGGGATGGAAATGTCGAGTTGGAACAATTACAGTGACTTAATAATATTGTATAATATATATGTGTGTATATATATATATATATATATATATATAAGTTAAATATTCAATGTAATAAATATAATAAATATTAATATTAATATATTATAAAATCATTGTAGGGAGAATCGTTCTCGTGTGACCTCTTCCTTCCAAATCGCTTAACATTCGGTCCATTATTCTAGGAGAAAAACAGCGGACGGCAGAGGGACACAAAATGTTTTTCTAGTACTTTCGTATTCTGCGTATTGTGAAAAGGAAAATTGGAGGAGAGTGAAGTTTTTAATTTTTCTTGGTCGATTACAATGGTTCATTATTTAATTTAATAATTTTACCAAAAATTAAAAAAAGACATCAATGGGGCTTATTAGATAATTTTATATATCAATAT